CGTGCTCGTCATACCAGGGAGGTCGGCCGGCCGTGTAGATGGTGCGCGTGCCTGTGCGGAGAAGAGGAGGCTCGGTTTTACTCTGTGAGGTAGTGCTCTTCCTGCGAGGGGCCCCGGCGGGGGGCAGGAGCCGGTCCAACGAGTCCTCCCCGCTCCCACTGCAAAACAGCACACAGCAGGGCAGGTTACAGCCTGAACACACACACAAGTCTTACACAGGCAGGTGTATCACGTCTGCAGTATCAAAGAACTGCCTTACTTCTATCTTAACAACGTAATTATAAGATGTAAGAATTTATCATTGTATCATATTATCTTTGATGATAGTTCGATAACACATACTTAAAATCCAGGTGTGATACATTGTGTACTGTTGGTACTAAACTATTTATATTTAGTGTGTTGACCTCAAGGTCCCGAACATCCAGAGCTTTTAATTGTGACTCTCAGTCTTCGTCAGCCGTTCTATAGCCGAGCTATCGTGAAGGCTGTGAGATGTGGTTAAAAGCTGCAGGAAAAGCTATTAAGTGGACCTTCACTCAAGAATATTTTCTCAAATTATTATTTTTTTCTCTCAACTGCATTGAAATTCCAAACAGATAGCAGATAAAAAGCAGCATGCAGAGTGTCGACTCAGACTTTTAAAAGATTTAAACAGAACAAATAAATAAAGCAGAGTACAAAATTAAATACGGAAGCCGAGAACGGCCACGGATTTCTTTTATTTTTTATATTGTGATAACGACTTATTATCTCTATCTATAACAAAGTTTGTTTACTCGGGATAACTAATTCATTAATAATGTGTTCGTCTTGATTTCAACCTACAACAGCTGCCACGAACGGCTTCCAGTCAAGTAAACAAACTAACATAAAGTGTAACTTACCGGGAGGCCACAGCTACAGCCAGTGGCTACGGAAGCCGTTCGTGACAGCTCTTGTAGTTTGAAATCAAGACGAACACATTATTAATTAATTAGTTATCACAAGAAAACGATCTTTGTTATATCGAGATAACAAGATAATAAGTCGTTATCACAAGATAACAGTGCATAAAAAAAAGAAAAATCCATGGATGTTCTCGGCTTCCGTACTTAAAGAATAAGTAAAAGTAATTTTTAAAGAAAAAAATTTAACTTTGGGCTGCTTTTCTTCATCATACGTGATAGAAAACTTAATATCTTTGGGTTCTGGAGTCGGTTGGACAAAACAAGGAATCAGATTGCATCACCTTGAGTATTTCATAGACCAAACAAGTCATTAATATAATGATATGCAGATTAATTAATAATGAAAAGTTAGTTAGTTTCAACCCCAGAACAAAACAATTCCCAAAATCCCCAAAATCCAGAACATGGCCTCAAGGGTTTGTTGGTTCGGAAGCAGGAACATTTTATTTTTAAGCGTAAGTTAAACAAAAATGGTCCCTGTGTCTTCCTCAAACTGGTAAATGACCCTGTTGGATGATGGGTAGGTAGAGCAGGAAGGTCTTTGTTGTTGTTTATGTTGTATAAAATCTGCATGACAGGGGCTGAAATCATATAAGAAAAAATACACAAGAACAAAACATACATGATTCTTATTCTTTTGTGTGTGAGTATAGACGAAAAGTTAATTTAAGCAAGAAATTACTTTAAAAGAAAGACATATTTTAACATACTAACATATTTCTCTCAGACGGAGTCAGACGATTGCATAACAAACAGTGTTGCAGTAAAAAAACAAAACAATTAAGTTGAAATTTGAAATATGCGAAAAACCTGAGGAGCAAGAAGAGAACATCTTGGTGCAGTTACACAAACACATTGTTGTGTGTGTTGTGTAAGACTGTTAATGAGTTTCCCCATTGAGCAGCTGCTGTAAGGTCAGACTCACTGTGTACTACACTTTATACTTTTATAGTACAGTTCAGTGGGAAATTACGTGGTTTCAGCTTCTCAAATGTGACAATTTGCAGCTTTTCCTTGCACAGTAAATTTAATCATTTTGAGGTTTGGTCAGACAACACATGTGAAGGTTTCACTTTAAGCTCTTAGTGACTCTGATGTGACTCTCACTATTTAAAAACCAATTGATTAGCGGATTGATCAACAAAAATAACCAACGATTAAAGGTCCAGTGTGTAACAATTAGGCTCTATTAGCAGAAACAGAACATAATGTTCACAGGTATGTTTTCATTAGTGTATAATCACCTCAATATAAGAACTGTTGTGTTTTTGTTGCCTTAGAATGAGACGTTTCTATTTAAAGACGCCGAGAGAACCACCATGTTTCTACAGTGGCCCAGAACGGACAAACTTAACACTGGTTTGAGGGCCTTTTGCATTTTTTGCGAGTTTCCCAACCACCGTAGTTTCTCCTACACACTTCACAGCCCATTATCAACACCAGGTCATCAAATACAGACGCGAGCAGTGTTCAGTTGGTTGCAATCAACAACATAACCACTAAATCCTCCGCACTGGTCCTTTAATCAATTATGAAAATAATTATTACTCACAGCCCAGTTAGAAAACAGCTTCACCACAACCAGCTACAGTAAAGTAAGCAAAATGCTGCCTAAACATTAATGATGCATGATTAATAATAATAATCCAATGGTACAATACCTGGGGGCTATTTCTCTGCTTTAACTACTAACTAGCTCATGTACAATTTCCTGATAATAACATTTTCCTGCAGCACTTGTTGTGGTATTGGCACTTCCAGGATCTGAATACTTCTTCTCACCGCCGCCTATATTGTGTTAATGCTACTGTTTGATACTCTAACCGACAAATCACAGCTGAGATCACTGTAATTAAGATTAAGGGCCCTCACGCCAACGTTTACTAGGGAAGAAATAAAAGTAATCTTAGCTTTGCGTCACACTTTCTGGATACAGCAGGGACTCCTTCATTCCCACTGGCAGTAATTAGAAATCAAATTAGTAACTCTGTTTGTTTCTTATGTAATGTACAACTATATGCACACAAACTGTAAATTAGAGGACTAATGAATGTTTTGCATATTCAACCGAAGCAATTTTAAATGCTTGTTCAGTAATGACACACTACAGGGCAATCCTCTTTGACTGAGCACGAATAAAAAAACACACCAAAAATCCCTGCAAACTAACCCAGATCCTGCACTTCCTCTGACCTCCCAACAACCCCTGTTAAGAGACTATTTAAAGCTCACATCCGTGGTGTGTTTGAGAGCTTTTGTGAGGAGGAAAACTAGCGCCCTGCCTGCACTCAAAAGAAACAAAACAACAAATCTTACCTGCAGTCAGACCTCAGGGACCAACAGCCGGAGATTCTGGCTCCCGTGCAGTCCAGCAGAGTCATATCTGCTTCAGACGACAACCTGCAACCCTCCAGCTCGCCTGTCACTGTGGCCCCAAAACAAAAGGCCCCTCGACGGATTAACTCTGCCTGAAGCAGGGTGTGTGTGTGTGTTTCAAGTCTTGCTTTTATGGAGCTTAAGCAATCGTCTGAAAAATGACTCTTCCTCTCATCTCTCCACGCCACCGGCCCATGTGTCCTCCTTTCTCTCGGTCCAACTCTTTCTGTGTGTGTGTGTGTGTGTGACAGACACTAAGAGGATCACCGTAACACTGGCAGCAAAGAGCGGCTTGGCCGGTATTAATAGAGGCACCTGTAAGCAAAAGCAGGACGGTACAGACGTCTTCTGCTGATCCCTCCTCTTATTTAACAGATCTGATCAACACAAACACGACAACAAACACTGCAAATAAGTCTCATTGTTACGGGAAATATCTGGGAAAATGTCCCTGATAGTTTCACAGAGCTTAACGTGAAGTCTTGTCTCAAAGATACAAGGCAGAGGAAATCCTCTCATTGGAGAAGCTGGAACCACAGAATGATACGTATGGAGAAAATAACTTAAAAGAATGAATCGATAACTAACGATAGATGACGATTTCCAAGTTTTAAAAGGAAAATGGAGAGAGTGAAATGATAAAGCACTTTAATTCTTAAAGTGACTTTTAAAGCCGCTTCATTGTCAGTGTTAAAAGTATAAAGTCAAATGTCTCTTTCATGTTTTAAGATGTACTAGATCTACTTCTTGTGGATAATATTTAATATGTGGACTTAGGTAAAGCTTTGATCGCAGGACTTTAATAATTAAGTATTGCTTCTTAAATGTTGTCATTTTATTGTTACTCCTGTCTCATTTGTACATATAACATGCATGTCTGTCCTGGAAGAGAAACCCCTCTGCTGCTCTTAAAGTGTTTTTAGGGGAGTTTAGTGTCTAAGGACAAAAGATGATGATTTTGAGCTACATAAATAAGTAAACTTGCATAACTAGAAGATAAAAATGTAACAAGAATCATTAGTGTTATGAGTATGAGATTAAATATAACTATACTATAAATATAGCTAAAGGTTTATTATAGGATAAGTATATTTTAGGGATATTTTAGTGGGTTCTCATTAGTGAGCCTGTGACGCACAACTGTGTCACCATGCAGCTCACCGACTTCAGAAGAGCTTCCGCATTAAATCAACCTACAGCACATTATAATGCACATTTACTGCACATTATAATGCACATATACTAACAGAGAGGGCTTTTAAATGAACAATGTCAATATTAGAGCCGATATTTTTGCAGTTTGTGGGAGGGGGAGCGGGGGGAGTCAGTGTGGTTATCGTTACATTACAGCATCGGGACGCTGCTGCGGACTAAATAAAGATTTAAGAGTATTCAAACACAGGTGATAAAAACACAGCATCAATGTACCTGTCCGAGCGGGACGACATTATTCTCCCGAACTCCGTTTCCATGGGGATCTTTCGACCTCGGAGCCGGCATCGGCTGGTTAGAGCCATGGATGGATTCCTTCTTAACCGTGCGGTGGGATTATGGGTAATGTAGTTTCTCATCACGTGGTTCCTCACGGCTGCTCTGTCAAGGGTAATGCACAATAATCCTGACCTTTAAAGCATTTGAATGAACAACAAAAACAACAACAACAAAAGGCTGATGTGCTGTTTTTTTGATATTTTTTCTTTATTTGTTTTCTGACATTAAAAAAAAGGTTTCAGAGAGAGAGAGGAAGAGGTAGAGACAGTAATGAGAGGGAAATAGTTAATAATTAATCACAGAATAGAGCAATACATTGACAGATTGTCACGGAGCTTCTTCATCACAGTTCATAGTCAGTTCGTGAAGATTATGTCTGTTCATCGTGCAGATGGGGAATGAAAAGCAGCCGGCTTCCACTTAACATAATTCTGAATATCGCTGCTCGCTGGGACGCATTTATCCCACAGGTCTCATTCACATTTGAGTAAATATCCCATGATTCATTAGCATCCACTTCTTCCAGCGCTGACACGGCTACGATATCTTACCAAAGGAACCTGTGAAACACAAAAGATGAATACTTTTTAGATTAGAACATTTAAAGAAAATTAAAAAGAGCTTTATCTTAGCATAAAGACTCAAAAGCCAAGCACAGCCCGGCTGTGTGCAAAGGGGACAAATTCCACCTGCCAGCACCAATAAAGCTCACTGATTAACATGTTATATTCTTTTGTTTGTTTAATCTGAAGAAATGTTTTTTGGGGGGGGTTAGTTCCTAGAACAGTAACCTTCTGGACTGGGTTGCACCAGCAGGTTCTCTCGTAAGTTATCGACACTGGAGGCTTAAGATAAGATAAGATAAGATATACTTTTATTTTACCCCCCTGTAGGAGAAATTCAAGTTACACACAACTGCATTGGGGAATATAGTGCAATAAAAAGAGTACAGTGCACAAGTACAAGAATATTACAAAATAAAATAGAAATATAAAACTATAACTGAAAAATATATACACTATAAGCAATAAGCAATGAATAGTAACTACTAGTTAGTTTGTAACTAAAACTGGTTGCACCACGTCTACTTGGGGCATAGCCTAACTAGTTTAGACATAAATGGTCAGGGTTACCGCGCTGCATTAGCTTTCTGGCTGCAGTAATCTAGATTAATATTGAAATATCATATCAATAAATTATACTCCTCGATTAGTGTAGCAAAATGTCCGCAAATTAAGGAAAAAATTATGTTGTGTGGCACAAAAAACTGCTGTTTTTACCATCAGTGAGTATAATTCTGTGACATTTTATGATTTATCTTAAGAATAAATCTCAACTTAGTAATACTTTAACCCTCGTTAAACAACAAATTGACGTTTTTACACAAACATGTGAGTTATAACCTGTTCATTAGTGAGTTTTAGAGATTCTGGTAGGCAGATTTAGTCACTTTTGGACAGAGCCAGGCTAGCATTTTCCCTCATTTCCAGTCTTCACATAAAGTTCTCTCCCTGTAAGTGACTAAGCATATTTCCAAAAAGGTCTGACTATTTCCTTTAAAGTCAAGGTTTTAGATCGGAGAGGTGAAATATGAAAACACACGCACCCTCACCTCTGCTGAGCAGCTGCAGGTTGCGTCCTTCCTCCTGCACCTGAAGCTGCAGCACCTGTTGCAACAACTCCTGGCGAAGTGTTTCTTGCACTAGTCCCATCCTCTGCAGCTTCTCCCCGTTCAGACGCAACAACGCGCGGCCTGGAAGGTGAAACCAGAGAGCTCAAGAATACGTTTCGCTTTTCATGTTGTAATTCTTTTTAATCCACCTTCCACTCATATGTCTTCTGACTATCTTAGCAGTGTGACCTGTGATGGCGTGGTGGGAGAACGCCTCCACGTAGGTTAGGTAGTTGTGTGGGCAGTGTTTCTTCAGCCATTTACAAACGTCTTGTTGTGACCAGAGCACGACGGGGCGGATCAGGCTGGGCTGTGTTGGACTTGTGTGATATATCCCATAACTGTCACTGGAACGGTACTGCAGGACAGACAGATAGACAGACAGACAGACAGACAGACAGACACAGAGAAGATGGACATGTGTTAGAAGATTACTTTTTTACTTTCTTATGCAAATGCAAAAATATGCAAATCACTTTCTGGCCTAGAGTTAGATGAGACTATTGACACCGCTCTCATGTTTGTACGATAAATATGAAACTGCTAGCCTCGCTATGTCCAAAGTTGACATTCTCCTACAAGCGCGTCTAAATGCGTCATTCCTCGCTTGTTTTATCTTTTTGAAAAACAAAAAAGTCAAAAACTTGACTGCTTTTCTGCGGGTTTATGCGTGGGACTATTTTGGGGCGAGGCGCACTGACTTCCTGGAGTCTCCACTGGTTGCCTGGCAACCTCAACGAGATGACAAGACTCCAGCCAGAGGCGGACTTTGTTAACCTTTGTTTGTCACCAAGAAGATGTGACGTGACGGAACTAATGCTCAAGAAGACAACGCTCAAACGGGCCAGTCGAGTAGGAGAAAGTTTGGTGGAGAAATGATGGATGGAAGGATTGTAGGATGGAAGAAAGGCCTGCCTCTATTTCTGTGCTTTATTGTCTGGATAGGGACAGAATATATGGACTGGTCTCCTCAGATGCAGCACACTATAAATGAAGAGTTATTCTTGTTACACTTTGTAGTAGCATTTCATTTCATTCGTTCATTTCAAGTCACACCCATCAGCCACTAAAGCCACACTACTGGATATATGGCCAGTAGAGTCAGACACTACACAGACCCTGTTACAGAAGAAAATAAATGTATTTCCCAAACTGTTTCTTTAAAGCTGCTTCTTGACCTTTCCTCCTCAGTTTGTTCCACTCACACCACAATCTTCTGTACGACCCTCAACATGACCTTACATCCATGAAGTGATGCAATTAGCTGTGATCTCTGCAATGCTGCTGCTCAGTCAAAAACCTACTGTGGAATTTGAACGCTTTCTAACACCTTTAGACAAGGAACTGACAAGACCAGCCCACCATGAGAGCAACAACTGGGTCTCAAACTCATTAAAGCACACGGGGACGATCATGTCCATATGTGCATGCAGATCAAACACTCTGCATGGATGGATGTGAAGTTGTCTGGAAGATCAGCGAAACATTCAGCAGCAACAGCACAGACACAGGAGCATGAGGGCCACTGTGATCACGAGATCCCTGCTCTTTAATCTTAAAAGATGTACAGCATGTAAAACTGTGGAGGACTAATCAAACTGGGCCTTTGATCAGTCCATCGGTTTTAAAAATTCAGCATGTTCAGCGCTTCTCCAACCCAAGCCTTTCTCAGAGGCAGGAAAGAGGTGTTTCAGAAAAGAAAAGAAAGGCTTGCTTGCACTTAAGACTCACTGGGGCAAAATCTGAGCTTGACACACCAAAAACGTATTTAAATAGTTTACATATAGCACGGAACAAAGCCAGCTCGTGTGGCAGTTTTCTGCCCAGACAGAGCAACAATGTATAATCAATTGACTTGTTTAAGTAGAGAAAAACAGGAAATATTGCTCGCTACTGTGTTTGGCACAATCTTGGCAGTACTGACTCCGCCGGCTCCCTGCTACCCCAAAAATGGGCAAACACGTGGAGTGTGGGTGGAGCTCCTTGTCCTTAATTATGCATAACTTTGAGCCTTAAGTTATTTAAATGATCTAAGAGGTGTTGATATCATGTAGACCTAGATCAGTGATCCCCAACCTGGGGTTTGGGACCCCCACTAGGGGTCACAAAAGTGTCATGGGCGGTTGCGAGGTCTTCTTGATTTTAATTGGCGTAAGAAAACTAAAGAAACAGACAGTAGGTCGATATCTCTAAATTATAACTAAATTAAGTTATTTTTAAAGTTTACATTTTTATTTAAGATCTAAACTCTGAAGACCTGAACACAAAATATATTCATATATTCAGCCTTTACTCTAGAAAAGTACACAGTTAAAACACTCAAAGAGCTAACAGAACAACGGTCCAGCTTCAGGGAGAAGAAAACACTGAATTTGTCAAAGAAAGAAGCCTATTTAGTATGTAAGGGAAAGGTTTGGGAAACACTGAACTAGATTATGTGTATGATTCTCATCTAAGTATTGTAAATACATGTGGACACCAGGAAGAGTTTTTTTCTGCCACCTGAGAGACTTCCAATCCACCATGGTCCTTTTATCTTTATGCTTCCTGCTCTACACGTAAAGAGCACTGGATTTCCTCTCTTTTCATTTCACTTGTCCCTTTCAACTCAACTCAATACTCCCATCTTTTTGTTGTGAGCAAGTATTTCTCGTTTCACACCCTCACTTTTGTGACACCAGACTATAGTGATAGGTGCTACCTAAAAGCCTTCATTGCCGGCATTTGTGGGTCAATATGAGAAAATGTTGACTCCTGAACTGGGCCTTTGTATGGATGCATGTATTCTGAATCATCACAACAAGGACTGGTACTTCTCATACTGTGCAGCAGGAAATTAAAAAAGTAATTTTAGTGCCGCTGTGATGTTTCAACACATTTTATAGGAAGAAAACATTTTCCTCAGTTTATCAGGAATGTATTGTTTTGTCAAATAGACACTGTGAATGCAATATTGTCCCCAAAATCCCACGTCACCATTTCTACTAGAGCTGCAAGTAATGACTTTCATTACTAACTAATCCCCCAATTATTTTGTCAATTAAGTGGTCAATTGTTTGGCCAATAAAATGTAAGAAAATGTAGGAAAAGTTTGCTAAAGCCAAAGGTAACAAACCACTAGTTTTTTTCTAACTTTTGTTTGACTAACAGTCTAAAATCCCAAAATATTTTTTATCCCATAAGAGCAAATCCTCACTTTTTAGAAGCAATAGAGAATATTTGGCATTCCTGCTCTAAAACAAACAATTGATTAATTGATTATTAAAATAGTTGCCAATTATTTCCTTTCAACAATGACTGAAATGTACTTTGTCGATTACTATGGATGTGTGTATATATATATATGTATGTTTATAGTATAACATGTAGAAAAACAATAAATAAAACTAACTGAAGAGCTAAAGTGTGGAAGAAGTGAAAATAATGTTCCAAACATGTTCCAGTGCAGCACATCCTCCAAACACACAACACTTAAGTTTATGCTCCTCAAAACAAAAATAAACCGACCCCCACATTATGTGCATCCAAGAGGATTGAAGCAAACAAACAACACATTGTATACAACTCTGTTATCAGCCCAGGCCAGTTCTATGTTTGCAGCTTTGGCTCCAGCTCATTACCGCCCTTTAAAGAGCCTTCCATGGGGTGAAGACAAAGGCACGGGCTTTTTGGACTTGTAACTATGGGCTTTAAATGAGGCCAGTTTACAGCACAAATGGATTGTCTCTTTTGACGGCAGCGCATGTGCGAGCAAACAATGCTGCTATCAGATAACGAAATGAATATCAGCTAAAAATTGAATTCAAACTGGAACAGAACGGCTGCTAGAAGTGGATCTGAAGACGTTTCACATAAAGGGATCTATTTAAAAAAAAAAAAAAAGGCATTACATGCTGCAACATCACAGACCGTATACCATCGAGCATTCGGTATCAAACTAAATTCTATTTCTTTTCTGTTCTCAGTCAACAGACACAGTGTTGCTGCAGCACAGCGCGAGTGTTGGAGGACCTGTGCTATTTAAAGCCATACTAAAAGGCTGTTAGAGTCCACCAACCCGCTGGGGAGAGAGCGACTTCCATTCTCTGCTAACAAAGTGCCCATTTGCAACAATGGATGGTGACCGGCCGCATTTGCCAGACTATGATTTTTTTTCTCTTTTCTCTTTCAGACTTTTCTGCACAGAAATCTGAGAGAAGAGTTACTGAACACCAGCGAGGAATGTTTCCATGCATACTCGTGTTGAAAAGACAACAAGGCAAAAGATAAGTAAGCACTGGTTTATAAGAAAGAAAGGGAAACATAACACTACTGCTTTCTTGCTTTTGTCATGGGGCTTTAAATACAAAGCAACTACTACAGTTAATATGAATAACAATAATGATTTTCAGATAAATATTAATAATTATTTCGGATCAATCCAATTAAGCATTCGTACAAACCCACGGCCTGTACTTGGTGATTCCACCATTTATAACTGTAAATTCTCCTCTGTGTTTGTTTTGGGAAAATATATAATAATATAATGTAGATTGTAGATTGACCCACGAAAGAGAGACAGCTAATGCTATCCAGACCCCTGTGTCTGTCCTGTGGGATGAACACCACACTGACGAGGTATTGTAATAACGTGAAGTGAAAGTAACTACTGATATCTTGATTTGAAGCAGATATAAAAGTATCTCCTAGATCTTGGACAGTGAATTTAGCCCGGGGGGTATAACATGAATGCCATTCACTGTATTGAGGTCATGTAAATGTTCAGTACCTGCAGGGCCTCTGTGCCCGGCTGCCGCAGCAGCTTCACTGTCCTGCCTCCGGCGGTTTTCTGTCCACGTCCGTCATGCCAGGTTAGGTTCCCACCTGTCCGTCGACTCAGCTGGTGCTTGAAGTCTTCGGGCAGAGCCCTGTACTCCACAGCTGGCCTGCAGAAACTGAAACTGGATGCCGCTGGAGAGATAAAAGCAGGGTGTATAGTGATCAGACAGCCGGATCTGCTCCTTAATCACTGACAATGTAAAAAAAACCTCCCTTACTCTGCGTGACTTGAAGGCAGAGCTGAACCCACCTGGACACCCTGTCATTCAGGTATGATCTCATCACAAAGTACCTGCTCACACATGCTGTTGATACACCAAGGAGGCATGAGGCAACGATAAACGCTACCTGAGTTCCTCGGTAATTTGCGGAAGTCAGCCTTTTTCTGTACCACTATTACTTTGTGCAGAGCTTGTAGGTGAATGTCAGAGCTGTAAGACAAACCACTTTCTCATCATTACGCAGAGGCCTGCAGGCAGACATCCAAACCCACCTAACAGCAGGTGGCTTCCCAACATCCAGTAATTAAAGAAAGTGTGGAACTACAGTAAACACGCTGTCGCTGGCACAGATCCTGGCAGAAAGCCACTGGTCATTACTGATTCATGTGCCAGATTGGAAGAATTTTCTTACCGTGTTTGAAGCTACGCATGCAGCTGTGTTTGTGTGTGCGCCAACATGCATTTTCAATATCTTAAATAGTCTAAGAGAATTTGAAAAGAGGACAGAACGAGAGAGGCTGTCGGGGGAGACGAGAGGGGGGAGGAGGGTTTGAGGAGATGAAAGAGTGTCTTTTGGTTTTCTAGCTTTGTGCCTCTCCTTTCTGTCATTCAGCATCTCCCACTGAGAGCGCAGCAAAAGCTGAGTCCTGCAATCATAAAGGCAAAACCAGCAGCATCGAATTATTATGAATAAAACTCTGGATGTGATTTTTTTTTTGTGTGTCTTTGAGGTGTAACTCCAAGACTCTGTATGTGTGAACGCTCCTTCACAGTGTTATTACACCCCCAGGCTGCTGCTGTAAACACATATGTGCCCCTTTCCCGGATTAAATACAGATAATTAAGACCACTTGTCAGACTGAGTTTTTCTTTTTCTTTTTTTTATGTAGTTATTGCTCGTTTATGGCAGGAAAAAGTCCTCATTAACTAACACTCGTATAAACTGCCAGCACCGGATAGGAAAACTCTCTCTTCATGAACAAAAATCTTGTCTTTCGTGTCTTCGCCTGTCTGCAATATATTCCACTTTTGGTTTAATATACATTGTAGATTAAAGCTCCTACTTGTAGGATTTTAACATTTCTGACTTTGGCATAGAAAGCAACACATAAACTACATTTTTCACCAGGATTGTATATTATTTATTATCTGTACAAAGACTAATGAATTCACTCAGAATAAAATAAAACATGCCAATGACATCCAGTTCTACACATAGGGGCTTTTAAATGGTAGCTGTCCAAAACTTACTGAGCCTATACTCAAACTGACCACAACAGTCCCACCATTATACTGGTCCTGCTGGTCTCTCCTTCTGGTGCGCTGTCCGTTTCAGCACCAAAGTCACTGACCATGAGCAGACCACCAGCCTGCGTCCTCCTCTTCTTTCTTAAAAATCAAGAGTTCGGTTGTTGTTTCGTTTCAGCTGTTTAAGACCCTCACACTGTGCGCACTTTCTCATAATGCTATGAGTATACAGCAGGCGTTGTGTTACCAGATGAGACCACTAACCCTACCTGGCAAAACCGGTCTCGCAAGTATTGAGTTATACAAATGAACTCGTGTTTTAAGTTGAAGTTCCCACTGAATGGAGGCTGTTTTTAAAAGACAATTTCGATGAATATGTCGATGAGTATAACCCACAGAAAGCGGCCTACCGTCCACAGCCATGGTGTTTCCGTGCCGTAGTGGATCTAGTGAAAGTCTCCCATCGTCTCCGGTGACCGACGCACAGGCTGCGGGTCCTGCTCCCACCTTCTCCTCCTCTTCCTCTCCTCCGGTGTGCGTTTACCGACAAAAGTTTCAGTGAGGTCTAGCAGGAGGAATGACGACTCCGCATCCTCTCAAGTCTTACTGGTCTGGACTGTGGAAAGAAAAAACCAAAAACATCTCAAAACCAGCTCACGTCGTCCTACGGTGTCACTCGCCAGGCTTGAAGTTGTTGAACACAACACAGGAATGTCCCCGACCAGCTGGCTGACTGGTTCCGCTGGCTCAGGCGGGCGCGAGCGTGTGCGCGTGCACGCCGGCGCATGTGTGTGTGTGTGTGTGTGTGTTTTTTTTTTTTTTTTTAATGTGTCGTGAGAATCAGACGCGCGGCTTTTTCTCAAGAGCTTGCATGAGCGCAGTGAGCTCAAAGTGCAGCCCCGGGCCCTGTAATTAACGCAGCCAGTGGAGGCTCTGAAAAACAGCCGGATGAAAGGGCTTCTCATCACTGCTGCATCCAACTTAAGGAATTCCCCCTTTGCCTTTTTCTTGAAGAAAAGGAGCTCTGTGCGCGCCTGTGGGCAGTGGGCCCTCTCTCTCTCTCTCTGATGGACCCTCTATGTGGGGATTGTCCAGAAGAGCTGCAGGACATCAAGGCTGATAGCGAGCACCTGCACAGTTACTTTACTGGTCACAAGTGCTGGGCAGTAACTCATTACTAGGAGAAATATTACAGTAATACGATTGCTTTCCACAATAAAAAGTATAATAACGACTACTAATAAATGTCAGTAATAATATTACAGCAAAAAATCATTAGTTACAATCTCCGTGCTGATTTAAAATCCAACAATCTAATCACATCCTTGGATTAATTTCTGTAATCCTGGAGGAAACTAGTTTGGAAGATGTAAAGACAACACATACAGCAGCTGGAAATATTCCATTACTTTGATTTTAACAAACAAAACTGGATTTTAATTGTTAAAAGTCTGAATTTTAGGGAGAAGGGACACAATTACCAATTTTGTGGGGAGTAGCAGAAAAGCAATTTAACTCGTAGTGTAAGTGTCTAATTACTGTTGGCAGGGAGTAATAAGTAAAGGAATAATGTCATTTTTAAGCAATAAATTACACAACACATCTAACAGTAAATGTTAGTAGGCTGTGGGATAGGTGACCTGTGACCTCCAGATTATGAGCATTATAGCACCAAACATAACCTCAAACCAACCAAAATCATTCAAAAAGCTTTTCATTCATCACCTTTTCTTTTGCAGCGTATTATTTTCCATCAAAATGAAGCAAAAAGGGAAAATTAAAGGGCCAGAAGAAAACAAGTGAATGAAAAAACTCAAAAGAAGGCTTTTTGAGGGGAGACTGAGCGTAAGTAAAATAAAGTGCAGCGAGTACAATAATGAGTTTCACTTGTATCAAGATGATGAAAGAAAGAGGGAGAAAAAATGAGGCATTTCAGAAAAAAGTAGGTCTCTATTGGCTCCATTTAATGGGGTCCATTAATAATTCCCACTATTGCCATTTAGCATAATAATTATGAACTCTATTCAAATGTTGCTGTTCATCCAACCGGAGCATCACCCAACAACGGTGGCAAGAGGAGTTTACCGCATATTGATGATGAGTTTTATACTCCATTACCAATAAAACTCAGCAGGAGGGATGTGTCTTACATAAATATATAAAAAGGAGGGCAATTTTGTTTATCCACTGCTACAAATCTTAGTAGAGCTTGAGGGATTGCCCCTGAAGGATCTGGACTAAAATATACTTTGTGATTCTCATATGTAAGTTCATAAATATCTCATAATTTTACATCAGGCGGCTCATGGTTTTGAAATCTGGTTGAAATCTACAAATAAACAGCAAATAAAACTCTGATGCTTTAAAACTGAAGCCAGCAGGAGAAACACTGGTTTGTTTTCTGCACATACTGCAACCTGACTGTCCTCCTGGAGCAGACTTTGGCAGAGGACTGTTAGTGGTGAAAGGGTGATGATGAAAGCCGATTAGAGAGATCAAGGTAGCACATGAAAAACCAAAATATCAAACAGGGCTTTGCATGGCACCTGATCAGTGAAAAGAAGTGAATGTGTGCAGGTGCTCTGTTGTGCACTGATGGATGGACACAGATGTTTATTACAGGGTATCTGAGTACAAGTTGAATTACCTTGTAGACGTCTGAATCCCCCTAAAATAATGATAAACATTATTTTCTGAACATACTCAAGTTGCACAACAGAAACAGAATATTTAGTTATGGATGTTAGAGTTAAAATGCAGATCACAGCCACACGTGGTGTACTGCCCCCTAGTGGAGTCACATGCCACAGTCACACACATCAGGAGCAATTTGGGGTACAGTATCTTGCTCAAGGACACTTCAACAGAGCTGGCAGTCGAGCCACCATCCTTCCGACTAGAGGACGACCCGCTCTTTGTCCTGAGCCACAGCTGCCCTACCTGAGTTAGATGATACCACCAGTGCTGAGGAAGTATTTTTACTTAGATTACAGTAAATATTATAGTGTCAAAATATTCTGTTACAAGAAAAAGTTCTGCATTTAAAACACTTATTAAAGCTCCAGTGTGTAGGATTTAGTGGCATCTAGCAGTGTGTTGCAGATGGCAACTCTCTTGCTTCACCATCCCCTTTCCAAGGAGAAACTACAGCGGCCATGAAACTCGCAAAACACTCAAAAATGAAACTCCCTATCAGAGCCAGTGTTTGGCTTGTCTGTTCTGAGCTACTGTAGAAAGATAGCAGCCTCTATGTAAGGCGACCTGCGGCATCTGTAGATAAAAACAGATTATTCTTAAGTAGCGCAAATGATTAAGTTCGTATCTTCTGTTGATTAAACACTAATGCAAACATACCTATGAATATTAACTGCCAAGAGATCCTCCTAAATGTTGACTCAATAAAGAGGGTCACTATATTTTGACTCCAGTTCACTGTGTCAAACCACTGACTCTAACCGCTGGCCCACTGAGCTGCAAACAGAAAAACACAAGTTTTTTTTTTTAAGTTAACTGCATTAAGTTGGAAGCATCTTACAGTTTGCTTATGAAAATAATAAAATAAAAATGTAGCCACCAGCCAACATCTCTGGTTAAATGTTTCTTGTAAAAACAGAGTTCTGGAGTAAGTTTATTCTAGTAATTATATACTATTATAGTATTATAGTAATACTAAAGCCCCTGCACACCAATAATAGTTCACGTACACACTGTTGTTGACTAAATTAACACAGAACTCAGTGTTTAAAAAGTAAATGATGAAACACCTTGGAATATTATATTTGTAGATGCTATGAATAGGATTTGTATTTTGTGCTGGGAACAAATACACATACTCATACATACAGACAAATAGTGTAAATTTTACACATGTTTGTTTTTTTGTTTATTTTTTCTAATTTGTATTATGTCTGTTATGTGTTGATTGTGATGTTTTAATGTTTAATGTATGTTTTAATAAAATTGACACCGCTAATAAGTTTTATGTATGTCATTTTTGTTGACTGTAATGTTTATTGTATGTTTTTGTTTGTTATGTGTTCATTTGTATCGACTGTTCTGTTTTTTTAATGTAAACCCCAGGAAGACTAGAGGTGCTTTATGGCACAGCTAATCGGGATCCTAACAGATAAAACAAAAAATAAACAACACAAACACATGTTTTCACTTATGTTGCCTGATTAGACCTCTTCTTGAACATAGTGAGCCTATAAAAAGTACTTGACTTACATCTCCCTCCCCACTGTTGGTATTGTTAAGGTTCCATTAGGGTATTTAAATGTCATAAACAAAAAGTTTAACATACATTTACTTAGCAGTTTGAGGAGGATGGGGGCCATGAACACACTTGAGTCCCTATATTCCCAGTGACAGCCCTGCTCACAATATCACAAGTATTACAGTCTGGTGTGTCATCGTGCATGCAGTGGATGTCCTGATTTAACACTCTCTTTCTGGGTTTATAAGAATCAAAAGATGCCAAGTGTGGATGTAAGGCGGAGCTCCCTGCTGTTTTTGATACCGCATCATGTGATTGATGTTTATTTGAAATGACTCCACACCAGATAGCAGCATCTGCCAGATATTCTTCCGCATCCTCCCACAATCGGTGCCAGAGCTACCCGCAGTGATCGTCCCGTTCACCACTGGCAGTCACTGCCTCATTGGCTCTAGCCGGATTTTTCAAAACGGTGTTCTGATATAGTTTATCCCAGTTACACACTGCACATGGGAACGTAAACCCAGCTGACTAGTTTGAGTTTAATTGGCAGGGTGTGGGTATGAGTAGTTTCTGCACATGTTTCTGAGACTGGAGCATTGGGGCTCCCCTTAAATTTTAAGCATGGACACATTTGGCCTGGTTAGTGCGCTAAAAGATGAAAGGCATCGCTTGAATTAATAGTTTCCACAGGAGAGAACATCAAAGAGCCTCAAATATTAAAAGTATACATTTGAGGTTTATACTCTGCAGCTGCCTTTCGTTTTTAATGTTTTAAAAAGGCATTCTTTTTCTTAAGTTATTTTTATGGTCATTCAGGAGTGATCCAGATAATCCTGCACAGTCTTCAGCCCAAACATGAAACAGATTGTACTGTAACACTGTGGAACACAAGGAAGAAGAGCTAATGGTTTTTCTTATTCAGAAACAACTTTACTCATTTGTGTAAGCTGTTGATAAGTCACAGCATTTCGGAAGAGAGAGAGAGAGAGAGAGAGAGAGAGAGAGAGAGAGAGAGAGAGAGAGAGAGAGAGAGAGAGAGAGAGAGAGGGTACAGACTGAGGTGGCAGTTTTTCCTCATAACGTCTAAACCAGTACTCAACACAAGGGGGCAGTCTCATTCTGTATACATAGAGGCAATGTACTCAATATAAGAAGTGATCAATATTTCCAACATTGTTCCAAAAGTACTCCATACTGTAGTCCTTAAAGGCAACACAGCTTTACTATGAATGATGTATAAACTGTTGGGAATATATAATAATAAATAAAGAGTATTACATCAATTCTTTAAAGCGGACAGTGCAAGGAAACAACTGCAACACCAAACTGACTGCGACACTCTTATACATAGCAATAAAGACTATTCTCATATTCTGGATTTCTAAGGACAACCCTGCTCTGGATGATTGGTATAAGCAGGTACTGGGAATACTCCCCCTGGAAAACCTGACCTACACCCTCCATGACAATGTCAAGAGATTTAATAAGATTTAGCATCCAGTCGTACACATGGTGGTGGATCCCTCTGGGCTTCAATACTAACACTGGAACAGACAACGGCACTGCCCAGTGATTTGAATGTAATAACAGTATGTCATCTTTTGGTGGTGTAGATGTGTTTGTTTCACTTCCCTTTTCTGTTTTAAAAAAAAATCATATTTGTGAAGTAATCACCCCCTGGTTTTTGTGTGATTTGTTAAGGTATTTCAAAAACAATGAAAAATGTGGTTTAGTGCGTATTTGGAACTGGAGTATATCTAACTGTTGCCAGAAACTCAATATCAGAAATCTGACCTCTTGTGTATCACAGTGATGTATTCTGGTTTCACTATATTGGCAACTGAAGCTGATGTAATCCCATTATATTGTTGCTGTTTGTTTCACGCCTTAAAAACTAACAAAAGAGCTGGACACATCTTATCTCACAGCATCAGAAAGCTGCAATATGCTACAGAATCTCCAGTACTGTAGTACAAAAATGATCAATTTATCCATCTATCTATCCAACTATCTGTATATGTGTTCATACAGCAAACAGACAGTACATTATGGACAGAATCTCAATGCAATTCTAATCTCCATCCAGTATTTTATACTGTTTGTCCAGGAGGGGCATCTGAGGTGAAAGTACTAAATATTTAGCCCCTTTGTTTGAATGGTAGTAACGGACATATATCAAATTAAATTCAATATCACAGTTAAACACTGATTAATGGTGTAATTTAGTTTTGTCCAATTAGGTTTTAAAAGTTCAATGAATATAAAAAGGGTTCATAAAAGTATATGGGCTGCAAATTGAGCTCTACTGGTGGTTTGATTTACTGAGAACATAATTCATTCATTTTGAAAGATGCTGACGTTGAATGTTTTAAAACAATCAAAATGATCCTGTATAGACTTCTTTCCAAACTGCCTTAAAAAAGTAAATTGAATATAGATCTATGTAAAGAAATGTAAAACAATTAGTCAGGAAAAGAGAACGCATTAATGATCATAGTAGAAAAAATTCAAAGCTTCAAAAGTCAATTTTAAGGGAAAAGGGTTTCTGTAACGCAGACTATCATTACACAGATGTCAGTTTGTTTGTGTGTGTGTGTGTGTGTGTGTGTGTGTGTGTGTGTGTGTGTGTGTGTGTGTGTGTGTGTGTGTGTGTGTGTGTGTGTGTGTGTGTGTGTGTGTGTTGGCTGTCTCCAGATGTGTACACACTGCCATGTGAGTCTGGCAACAGAACAGCAAACACACTAAACTTCTTGGCTAACGTGTGAAGTGTGCCGTGACCTCTGGCTCCCCATGTGGCCACCCAATTAGGTTTGTTAAGGCCAACATTTGTCTTATTTAATGACTAAATTCTTAAGACAGTGACGCCTCGCAATGAATCCTTTTATACCTACTAAAAGAACAAATATTAACTCAAAAATAAACTAGATTAAACTAAAACAGTGTTTGTCTGTGTACTAAAACAGTACAATCTTACAAACAACAATTGTTTGTTATTTTACATGGCTGTGAACATACAATCTGATTTAATCTGATGACTAAATGCTACATGGTCTATCTTCAGAAGAGATACAGTGTTCAGAATAAGGTTTAATCATGTCCATAGTATTGGTTAGACTGACTTCAGTGCATGAAGAAACTATAAAAAATGTATAAACTCCTTTCATACTCTTCTATTAGTCACATCAAAGTTAAAACAAATGCTGAAAGTGATTTGCAAATATTATTTGAGGCAGTACTGTTGTGAAAGCACTGCCAAAGCCACACATAAAGAGATTTACAGGCCAGCTCAGAATTTGGACCGCTAGTGTTAAAACTAAATAGACACAAAGAAAAAAAGTGAAGCATAAACACAACTGCACCCGCCCCAATGTGTTGCACAGACTCTCACAGACTCATACATGTACGTGGTGGTTTTTTTCATGCAGGAAATGTGGCCTCACCCTGGTCATAATGTGGCCATGTCGAGAAGTCCATGAACAGTCTGACGTAGGCGTGTGTGACGGGCAGGTGAGTGGAAGCTAAAACAGCTGTAGCTGTGTGATGCCATTCAAGGAAAACTATGGGTGGAGCCGCCACCGGCCTGCAGAATAAAGCTGCACTTGTTTCACAGCACCAGAAAGTCCAAGTCTGGATGCTTGTGCGCTCTGCAACATGTTTCACATGATACAATGAGAGCTTGTTTACACATCAAGAAGGTAAAAGAGCTCAGGGAGAATATGTAACACACACTGTTGTGTATCTGCACTGAACAGGGTGTTTCCAGGTAGAAGAGGTGGGACCGGGTACAAACAGGATACAGGAAATGGGCTTGCGTCTAAAGAGGGTCAATCGAGAAAGATGCCTGCAGAATAATGGACACAGTGTTACTCTTGTTCAAAATGAGGTCATGTTACAATGTCACAGCAAAACATTTTTCAAGAATGTCGTTTATGGTGGTCTGCACATATATATATGCTCAATGATAGAAGCTACTTCCTTACAAGTAAAAGTCCTTCATTCAAATGCTACTCGAGAAAGAAAATTAGTATTATCAGCTACATGTAATTAAAGGATCAAGAATCCTCGTTCTGCAGAAAAAAGGCCCCTGTGACTGATATGTGACATTATTAGACTGTTAATGCGTAACCAATGTTATAAAGTTGTAGCTGATCAAGCTAATTTTCTTTCATTTATAAACAGTTAGATAGGATAGTCCAGTAGTTGTCAATCTCTTTTGTGCCCTGCTGTGATATTTTTTGTCCTGCACTTGAATAAACTTCCATCTTTTAGAGCACACAAATCTTATCTAATCTTTGTTTTTTGTTTTAAATAGTGGACCTCTCAAACATTTATTTCAGTGAAAAATCTTTAACGTTCAGAAGGGAAATCTTTGGTGGAACTGCAAACCACTTAAAGCAATCTGAAACATGAGGTCAGGGGTCAGATTTTACTTAACAGTGTATTGTTATCTAATCTGAAAAGTATCCAGTAAGTACAGCTGCAAGATAAACCTAGTGGAGTAAAAAAGACTCAGACACATAAAAAAACAGACCTTCAAACTGTTGTTTAGGCAATTAATGAAAACGGTGTTGTTTTGTTTGCTCCATCCTCACCCACCTTCATTTGGACTGTCTGCATAGTCACCGACAGCCTCGTCAAGCATATATAAATAATAAGGTACATTTTTACCTTGTAAAAGAAAGACATGCATATTCTAATGCTGTATTCTCTAATGTAATAAAAGAGAGGAACAGACTGGACAGAAAAGATTTTAGAGGCCAAAAGGAAATGTAAGATTTAAATAACTCTACTAAAGGTTTCTTTTAAAGGCTTTAATGTGTTCAGTTTGTCCTCCTAAAGCTGATATTGTAAATTCCACATTTCATTTAGAAATAGTTAAATTGATTGTGATGAATAAAGCTAAAATGTGTCTCAGTCTAACGGACCTTAAAGTGGAAAGTGTTCTGTGGCTTTTTCTCCACTCAGGGTGGTGAACGCACTCGACTGTACAAAGACTTGTGTTGTGAATGAATGTGCGGGCTTGTGGGGCAAGGCACTCAGTCCTGGGCGTGTACTGTCACAACCTTCAACAGAGGGTATTTATTTTTATTTGTTCCCGCTCCTGGAGGTTTGCTGTTAGGTTTGGGTTTACACTGTGTGTAAGTAATAGAGCTCAAGATGTTTCACAGATTTCACTTTAGAGACTGCCAAGCCATCAAATAACCTCAACAATATCATCACAGATCATATATGAAAAAGCATGTGTGGACTCCCATACAGATTTCATTCAATATTATATATTTTGTGTATGCTGGTTTAGTACCACACACTATGTGACATTATACTAGAGGATTTTTATAATCAATTAATCGTTTAAGTCAAATGTTTTTCCATTTCAAGCCACTTTTGGGAGTCAAACAATGCACTTCTTACTCAATTTAATTTATTTGATAGTTTGAGTTACTAGTTATTTTGGAGATAATCAACTCAGAGAGTATGTACTATTATAGATTAAATTACCCAGCAGTCAATAAGTTAGTAGGAAAGTAGTACAATCAGTGTGACATTAGTGATACTTACACATGAATGCATCAATGATTATAATCCAATAATATAATGAATATTATTCTGAAACGGGCCATTCTGCATAATGAGTACTTTCATTTTGGTACTATTGGTATAATTTGATGCTATTACTTGTGTATTCCTAATGTAACAGAGTATTTCTAGACTGTGGTATTGATACTTTTACTTAAGAAAAAGATCTGAATACTTTTTAATTTCTGGGAAAGTGTGGACATATATTTTCTTTTATAGACTAAGCAATTTTTAAAAAAAATAATGAACACATGAATCAAAGAAAGAAAATGAATTGCAGCCCTACACTGTATGACAACTTAATGTACATGAACAATGAATGAGATATTCTCTACTGTAGGTCATTCTGAGGATGATGATGAAGAAAGAATTTAACTACAGAGAATATAAGCTGGAAATGGCCACACAGGGTAATATCACAATGTGGGCCCTTAAGGAGCAACTTATCTCACATATGCTTTTTTAGTTTTAAGTATTAGCCAGGTATTGTGATCCATAGGTCAATTTACCTTTTTCACAGCAGACATTTTGACTTAGAATAGTAGGAAGAGTGTCACGTGTCCCAGTAAGCCATGGCAGTGTGACAGTCAGCCAGCATGCACAATACCAGGATCCTGAAACTGAAGCAGCTCAAAGGAACTGAGCCATCATTAATTTTATTAGTTACACTTGTGCTTTTACTACTGTGACATGTCAAAATGTCCTCTCTAAAAAAGGGCCTATATGCTAAAGGATCATACACAATACAGAATAAATCTTCTTCATACTACATGAACTACATCCACTTGTCATCTTGGATTATTATGTATTTCCACTCTTACCCTAAAATGTAAAAAGGTCTATTTTGGGACAAGGACTTGTGTTGTGAACTCTGGACGTGATGTGCTATTTCCCCTCTGGTTTGCCGTGATGTCACCATGGGAATATAGCTCATGGGAGTTCAGCCTTTGCCCTGATTGGTAGAGACAGCCTTCAAACTAGATGTATAATAAAAACTGTATTTTCTATAAAGCTGAGTATGACAGAAAACCACAGGAATGACACTGAATGCAAAGGTAAGGGCTCTCTTCCCTCCTCTAGTGTCACTGTGGTGTTACTTTGAGGAGGTTGAGTGGGAGGAGATATGCAGATGGTGCCAGTGGAGCCCTATTAGTGGTGTCTGTAGTCCACCAACCTCACAGTGGACTGTTGTCACTCCAGTCCACCACACCCACAGCCAGCGTTAGGGTCAACATTCACAGGGTGGCATTCTGCTTTATGCACAGACGAAAAAAGGTTGTAGTGCGGAGACTGAAGTCTTTTTTTTTTTTTTGTTACCTTTTTGTGTTTTGAGATATCTTCTTTTGTCAGAGGCCTGGGAATAAAATAATTTCCGTATCAAGTGAACGGAGTGGAATATTTAGGGAATTACTTTCCTTTTATGGAGAAATACTTTTTTCTACTGTGAGATCAACTTTACCTCAGTTTGAAGACTTTTTTTTACTAAGAGTTTGACTTTTAACACGTGGATAATCAAGGATGCATTCTGTGATGGCGGTGAGTCCTTTTGTGTTCATGACTCTACTTCTGTCACTGGTCGAAACCAAGTTCTACAGACCGTTCCAGTTTAACCAGTATAAAGCTGGGCTCACTCAACACCATGACCAAGGGAAACCCACCAGCAGACACAAGTAAGTTTGGTCTCTTTCTCTCTCTGTCTTGTGCTCTAAGGAATCAAGTCTACAACTTAATTTAATTTCCCTTTGAGTGACCGAATTACCAACTGGAAAACATAATAATGTATCTCACCTCTATTCCTTCATCTTTTATCTCCTCTCTCAAAGGAACCACTGTGCCTATGTAATTGAAAAGACAGTGTCCTTCACCGTGCAGGATGGGGCAGCCCCATATGTAAAAGCTGAGTACAACAAGTGTTCCTGGGGTCAGAAATGTCCGACTCTTCTGTGAGTAAACAACAGCTCTAATTATATTATGTTGACATTTAGCCCTTGATTTGAGTCAACATAAAACTGAAATTCACTTGACTTCAGGGTACAAATACCACAGTCAAGTGTTTGAGTGTTTCTGACTAATGGTTGGTTGTTCCCCTCAGGTATCGTCTGATGTACAAACCACTCTACAAGGTGGCACATAAAACTGTCACAGAGCTGGAGTGGCGCTGTTGTCCCGGGTACTCTGGTTATGGCTGCATGGAGGGACATCCAGTTTACCAACACCCCATGAAAATGATGCCGCCATTCAAGGGTCCGTCAATGAAAGGCCCACAGTTTAAGGGGCCGCAGTTTGAGGGCCCACAGTACAAAGGCCCCATGTTCAAGGGTCCCATGTTCAAGGGCCCACCTATTAACACTGTTATGAAGGCCAACCCATGGAGTCAATCTAAAGGACCTCCCACCAACGGTTTTAACTCAATGCACCACTTTGGGCCTCCAAGGTCCTCCTCCTACCCAGACACCTCTTTCGAGCCCTATCCGTCTGACCCAGAGCCAATGCCAGAGCACCAGGAACCACATCACACAGAACACGATCAAGAACATGAGCATGAACATGATCATAGCCAAGGACCTGAGGAACACATACCAGAGGAAATCCCTCTGCCTGCCTCTGGTGGGGAACAGCCTCAGGGTGAGACCATAGGTGTGTCCCTTTTCCATACTACATACTAATTTTCTGGGTTTTTTGGAAACTGGGTTACACTATGTAGTGTGTTCACACTGGATAAATGACAAAACTGAGCATGCACTTTTTTCAGAGTCACATTGGGCTATGAAAGACTGATTTACCTTTTTATTTTGAACCGGTTTCAAACAAAATTACACCAAGGCACAATAATGTGTTATGTTTGTCTTAACAGCTCTTCTTTCTCTCTTTAGGCCAGACTCTAGACAGTGAGACAGAAGAACGAATATATAGAATGGAGGAGGATGTACAACGTCTAAACCAGGGTCTGGAGACCCTGAGGGGAACTGTGAATGGACTGGAAGATAGTCTACGAGCCTCTTTGAGAGAGGATGCCAACAGGATGCTGTCAGCTCTGCTCTCTGCTGCCCCTGGTCCTGTTCCCGCTCCAGCTGTAGCCTCTAGTCCATCCACTGTAGGGTTTGTAGAGATTCCCGGGGGAGACCCTGAGACAGAGGGTCTGGATGGCACACATGTGTTTCCAGGCCTTACGGAACTGAATGGAAGAGTAGAGGAGCTCAGGACAGTGCTGCAAGCCAAGACAGCAGAGCTGCAGGAACTTAAAGCAACAGTGATGGGACATGATGGAGCACTGAAGACAATGTCAAATAGAGCAGGAGTGGTATCAGACTCCACTGGCAATCTTGTAGGAAATGCCCAGAGAGCTATGGAGACAGTGATGGATGCAAAGCTGAGTGCAGCCAGGACAGAAATTCTTGGTGGGTTTGAGAAGCGTGTGGAGAGTGCAGAGGGTCGATGTGAGGAAAAAGCTGGGGATGCGCGTCGTCAGTGCCAGAGAGAGCAAGGTGAGAGGCAGGAGCAGATGGAAGACGCTCTGGAGGAAAGTACCACAGACTTGAGAACAGAGCTGAGAAACCTACAGGCACAGATCCATGGTTTAAAGGCTACAGAAAGCTGCGGTGGTAGAGTGAATGGGCTGGATGAAAGGGTGCAGCTGCTGGAAACATCAGTGGCAGGCCTCAACCAGTCCCAGGGGCACCTGAGGGTGGAGCTGGGTGGACACAAAGACCACATAGAGGGAATGCTGGAGGGGCGTCTGGGGTATGTAGAGGCTAAGCTCAACCTCACTGGAAAGATTAAGAATAATGAGTCTGGAAGGAGGAGTGGTATCCCAGACACAGCTGAGACAGGAGAGGTCCTGGAGGCCAGAATGGAGGGTAAGTTGAGGGCCCTGGAAGGCCGTTTACTGACGGCTTTGGAGGAGCTGGGTAATGCCACTGCCCCTGTGCTGCTGGAGGGTCACGCTGTTCCCACTCTGGAGACGGAGCTGGAGTCCCTCCGAGGGAGACTAGAGGTGGATGTAGACAGAGTGAAGAAGCATCTGAACAGCCTTGAGATTCTTTGTTCCTCTTCCTGCTCCTCACCTCAAAACCCATCCGCCATCCAGGGAGACTCTGCTGCACCAAGTGCTAATCGGGGAGAGGAGGACAATGTGAAGGAGGCACTGGACATTCAAGGTGACCGTTTGAATAGTCTCAATGTCACACTGCAGAACATCATGAGGCATCTAAGTCCCAGGGATCAGCAGGAACAAGCAGAGGGAGATTATCCCATCCAGGGAGAGCTCACAATACTCAAATTCAATGTCCGCTCAGTCAACCACACCTTAAAAAACCTTCAGGATTCCCTAGGAACAGTGCTCCACCAGGTGGGGCAATCCAACAGCTCCTGGCATGAGAGAGAGGCTCGTCTGGCCCAGCAGATAAAGGGTGTGGTCCAGCTGGTTGGACATCAGGCTTCCATGCTTGGAACAGGTGAGCGTAGACTGACCCGACTTAAGAGTGAGCTGCTGGAGATGAAGAGGCGGCTCGCTCAGGAGGTCCAGGGCTGCCGGAGCACAGCTATGGGAGTCCAGAAAGAGGTAACTGAGGTTGGAGGGCGTGTTGCCAGTGTGGAAGACCAGTGCAAGGGCCTGAATTACTTGGCTGAGGACCTGGAGAGAATCCGGGAGGAATTGGAGGGACAATCAAATGGGCTTCTCCAGCAAGTCAATGGGACTCTATCCAGCCATGCTCAGCAGCTGACTGAGCTGAGAGGCGAAGTCAGAAACTGCACCTCCAAGATGGAGACAACACAGCAGAGTTCAGAGATGGAGCCAGAGCTCAGACGAGGGGACACCTTCACTTTGAATTAGTTCAGTGTATATGGACAGTAGATTTTAAAAATGAATGAAAAAGGACATATATCCTCCATTTGTAGAGGGGGTCCACTAAAACCCCATCTTATTATTTGAATTGTAAAATGCAAAGGTTTTGAACCTGCACTGAATTAAGGATGGTTTTAGTTAGCTTACAGTATAAAATGAAATGGCAGCTAATTCCGACTGCACTAATAACACAGAATCTTGAAACTGAATCATAAAGGTGCTAAGATGAACTGTTTGTTATAATGGACTGCTATTTAGAGCTCCAGTGATTGAGGAAGAGATGAACAACAGCAAACTGCACCTGTGTTGCTGTACTGTTTCTGTAAAGCTTACAAAAAAGTTTTTACGTGAGCAATTTAACAATGTTTACATGTTTTAGTTTTTGTATTGTTTTTTTTCTTATGTCTAGACTAGAAGTATACAATATATTATGTTTTTATATGGTTTTATTTCTAATAATTAGTTTCTAATTGTAATAATGAATAAAATGTGGGTATTGTGAGCTATATACAGTTTGATTTCAAGATCTATCATTACTGACAATCCAATAAACACATTTCTTCCCTGTTCATGCGTTCTTGGTTAACAGACATTTCTAGATACATATAAAAAAATAATTTTCCTGGCGTCTGAATTTAAAAAAAAAAAATTTAAAGTATTGTTTTGGGCTTTTATTGCCTTTATGATAGAGACAGCTGAAGATAGACAGGAAAGGGGGACAGAGAGAGAGGGGATGACACGCAGTAAAGCTGTAGCAAGGACTCAGCCTCAGTCCATGGGTCGTCAGCTCTACCCACTGAGTTAACCGGGCACCCCTGAATTGAAGTTTATAAACAACACCAACCCTAAATTAGATAAACTAGTCATGTTTCACTTTAGAGGTGAGAGGTGTTGATGCAGGGAAGTGTGGAGACCACAAGAGAGCAATAGAGAAGCATTAATAGTGTTGTCTGGTGGGGACTAGGGAGGCATGACTTGACTGAAGCTATGCTCATGAAATGTTAGTCTCCCCAAGTTCATGCAGACAGTTATTGCTTACCAGAAATTACAAATTGGCATTATTACCAAGGTGAAAAAGAAAGACAAGGCGCATTATGGTACAGTAGCCTATATCTCTCTCTCTCTCTCTAGGCTACAAATCTACCAGCCCAGCCGTCTGAGCCCAGTTTTCATTGGACGTTACAATAGGGTGATAGGTGACCTTGCTAATAACCCTCCCCCGTTAGTTCCTGTTCTCCTATCGGACAAACAACCATTAAAATGACAGCAATGTGGGAGATGAGCCCACTGCTGTGTGAAAATGTTTTAGCCCGAGACATGTGGTGAATAATAAGTATAGCAATGCCGGGGAGGAAAGGAGGGCACACAGAAAAGATAGACACCAAATGTATGTTTGGAAGAGTTGAGTGATGGAGCAATCTCAAGATGCAAATATAAACCTAGGTAATGATGCAAGTTCATGCAGAAAAAAGAGAGGCAGAGAGACATATTCCTCTGCTTACAGAAGAAACCATTCATAAATATTCAACAAACTATTGTTACTTAAAGTGCAAACAATACAGAACAATAAATGCCATAAAAGAGAAATAACTGAGTAACAGGAAACTGTCTAGAAACCCATTCAGAAAATAATATACAGTAGTCTCTCTCTGCTTCACCAAAGAGTCCCACATTACTCCAGGTCTCCGTTAAAATCTCTGACATTGTTCGGATTTTCTTATTTATTTTCTGTATTTCTCCAGTGCCTCTTCACACCTCAAACAAGCCAAAACAACAACACATTAATCTTGTTTGTTTCCAAGTAGACCCTTAGACAGAAAGGGCAGTCAGGGGCTCTAGTGAATTTGTCTCCTCTGACTCAGAGCCTCTTCACTGCTCACTCATGGATCCGAGTTCTGCTCCCTGCACAGCTCGCAGACTGTCACTGGCCAAGCCGTGCACCAACATCACAAAAGGCAAAGCTGGCACAAAGACAGAGGACAAAGGATATTGGAGTAAGCAGAGGGCTGCAGTCCTCTACAATGTGAATCATCCTATATAATGTCCTCTGTACAAGGGTATGGTTAAAGACAGGGTTTTGGCCTCATTAAAGTGATGGTCTAGAGAACGGACAGTGTTGATTACAGTTGACACACACACACACACACACACACACACACACACACACACACACACACACACACGAGGAAGCCCAGGAGAGGGTCGCATTACATCAAGGACTCAGAGCTTCTCAGTAATAAGCTCCAGGACATTCTTCAAGAAGCAGTAATGTGTAAAGCTGTACTGGAGCTTTTGTCTTTCTATACCGAACAAATTACTGGTGAACATCTGTCCCATGCTTACAGAACTTTGTGAAATTTTGCATTTTATTATTATTAATTACATTTTAACAGATGTAGGGATACTATACTGGAAACACTGCACTCATTTCCTAAACTTGATTTCTTGTAGTGTCAAGAAGATGAAACATTGAGTCCTAATCTAAACACTTCCTTATGTCTTGGCCGTAACACTCACAGAAGATGGATTCTTGCAAAAGTTTAGAGCCTAAACTACAATTTGGCTCAGTCTTCAAACTGGACGGTAGATTATTATCTACAGAGCGAAGACCTTCCATAAAGTTTTTTTTATTTTTTTAATGAATGTATTTATTAGTTTTTGTTTGCAAATTACAGCAAATCAAACAGCAAGTCACTATTACATGCAACAAAGCAAACTTTACGCCCTGTTCTCCCTCCCCTCGCCAAATAGGTATAAGAAAAAGGTGTTAAAACAATAAAATAAAAATAGAAAAATAATGCTGATAACAATAGAACCCTGGATATGGTATACAGGCCCGCATAGACACAGATACACATACATAAAGACACATACATGCACACACTCACTTTAATTAAATAAACAAATATTGGATACAGTTATCATAAAGTTGTTTTTAGTAGAAAGTGCACAGAGGTCTTTCACATAAGTACAGTGCATCTCTCGACTTAATCATCTTAGATACAACAGATGGTGCCGGAAGCATGAAGAGCACAAGGATAACAACAAACACCTGCTTCCTCTCACAGTCTCATATTTGAAACATATTGTGAGTTAAAGGTGGAGTAAGCGATTCTAGGTAATGCGATTCTAATCCAATACACTTTTTTCAAATTCAGTGAATATCTCGTCATGGTCCACCAGTCCCAAGGGCACCTGAGGGTGTCAACTTTCTGCTCTGTGTGTGTGCGCTGTTGTACACAGCCCTGGACCTATAAATGGAAAACAAACTGGATCGGACCAAGCCACACAAGTTATTCCAGCCATTCCAGACAGGATTTGTGTGTCAGGTAACATTAATTTACTTGTCCACGGACAATACTGTTGTTGTGATGTTAGTAATAGTATTGGAAAGGTTGTGAGAACCACTGTCAGAGCTGCTGGCTCTGGGAAACTCTCTCGTCCTCTCTGTATGTTAGCTACACAACAGCAACTTAAGCAACAAATTACTAACTCACATCATCGTTAACAATAGTTACATTATTTCGCTTCACAGCAAGAAGATCCTGGGTTTGCATCCTGGCTGGGTCAGGGCCTTTCTGTGTGGCATTTGTATGTTCTCCCCGTGTTTGTGTGGGTTTCCTGCAGAAGCTCAGGTTTCCCCCCTCCATGCAAACCTGTGTGTTTCACCAAGGCACTGGCTCAGATGTGCATTGTGGCTGCCCACTGCTCCTAGTACTTAGGATGGGTCAAATGCAGAGAATGAATTTCCCTATAGGGTTTGTCATGGTATTAGATTTCTCTATTATTCACACATTAGTTATTCAAATAATCTTTAGCTTTGGAGTTCGTAATAAAAATATACAAAGGGTCTTTCTCTTTTTTCCAACCTTGGTTTCAGCTTCATAAGATAATATTAAGCTGCTAATGTACAAAAATGAGGTGTAAAATGCCATGTAAGACACAAAAACAATCTTGCTCTCAATCCAGTTCAATTTTAATCCTCAAATAGGGAAGAAACCATTAAAACAAAAAGGAACAGGACCTGATGTAATAAGAGCCTCGATCTGGTCCTCTTTTGTCCTATTTTATAAAGTGTCAACAGAGAATGCTGACATACTAAAAGGATGTTGATATACCGGGTTTGTCAGTAAGTGCTGTGCTTTGTGAGTCCATTTTTTTTTTACTGTGCGAGCAGTAATGATGTCAACCTAGATCACAGCTAACCTTGCATTGTGTTAATTTGTTCCTTAAGTGACTGAAAGATGGAATTAACAGCCCTACATTAGGTGAAACCAACCAATTTCCACATGGTTTTAGTAAAATCAAATGTACCACTTTGTTCTGTTCTACTTTGAAACTCAGTCACTCTCCTCCAAAAAAAGAGAAACAACAACAACTGGTGTGAAGCATATTTTCACAGCTGGGGGACAAACTGAATCGCTTCACTGGGTAGACACACTGAGCTGAATGATGTACAATTAGAGTGGCAATGAGAAGAGCTATCAAAACATCAATGGTATTATTGCATTGTCTCTGTATTATGTTCACTTGTCATTTAGCATTTATCTTTTCATATTGCATATTTATTTATTTAACCAGGTAAAAACCGGTTGAGATAAATCTATTTTGCCAATGCGACCTGACCAAGGAGGCAGCAAAGTTACACGTCTAGAGCAATGTCAGTTCCACACATACAATGACATACAAAACAACATACCACCACCACCAGCAACAACAACAACAACAACACTGTTAGTAAGGGTTACAACAGGAGTCCACAAAAGGGTTGAAGCCCAAAATAAACATGTCACAGAGTGCCTTAAATATGCCCCTCTGAGTCAAACTGTGGTGACCAGGACATTGTAGTCTCAGCATTCTCTCTCTCGCTATCTCTCTCTCACTCTCCACACAGGTAGGAATGACTTAATCCTCATCATGAAACAGACACAAGGCTGAAAATCAGCATAAGTAGCAGCTTAGTAGTGCTAAGGTCATTGTTAATAATGCAATAGGATGCAACATGACTATGAATGGGTATGACAGTTCTTTATTTATAGTATTTTATAGTGTGTTCAAGCATTATTCTGTATTCCTAATTATTCTGACAAGACTTTAGTATATGTCAACTATATTAACAGTTAATAAAAACACCATCAAGTTGGACAACACAGGATCTTGCTGATCAGTTAATGAATGTGTTGTTTTAGAAACTACTGTGCAGACTTTGGGCAGAATGTAAGATTCACTAATTAGAGAGACAGTTGCTACTTAAAAAAAATGTGTTCATCTGTAAAAGACGATCATTATTCTACATTCACATTACTCACTGGCGAGCGGCAGACCAAAATTTCCAGCAGCGCCAATTAATCATATTGTAGTGGTTCATCGGATTAATACCATAGCCTAAGGGTTTGTAATCCAGCCTCTGAAAAGGTTGAGGGATGGCCTCTGCTCTCAGTCCACTGCCACTGCTAACCTAATAGAAGCATGAATGACTATTTCAGATCACTGTCAAGGAAGAATATGTGTCACAAAATAGCAGTTTTAGGGTATATTGTACAAGTACTGATTTACAGATATTTACCGCATATAGTCGGGTTTAGGGCCATGGTAGCACCAAGCCTCCCCAAGATACATTTTTCCACAGACCATACAAGAGATATATGATATTTCTTTGAATAGCAGGTAGATGACCATTCTTTCAACAACATATATTAGTAGAATATTTTAGGATATCTTCAATAAGTTTCTAACAAAGTTGGGATTCAATCAGAAGTGAAAAGTAATTATATGAGTTGGGGATAAATGAAAGACACCTAATAGTTAACTGAGTCTCACTATTGCAGCACCTATTGAAGTGTTCTCAAAGTCTGATTCAGCTGTTCATTTCGTTTTAGTTCATTTATACCTTGGACTCAATCATGAAACAAGACACTACAAGGCCCTATTTTAATCACGCGGCAGCAAGCACTCAGTGATAGGTCCGGGAGAAAACACTACTCGGACGTGTTATTTTTGGTTCATGTATGAGCAGCAGCACAAAGTGCATTAGGACTGGGTGAAGGTGTCATCTGCATGTAATTTAATCAAGTTAAACGAAGTGGACAGCCGTGCGTACTATCTTCACTCAGAGGCTGCTGGCTTATTAACAAACCTGTCCTGACTGCAGGGATTTAATGAACTCAAGGAGAAGGTTTTCATGCACTATGAAGCAACTGTGGACAACAGATACTGTGAGGATCACTTGTGTTAGAGAAATGCAGACTGCTTTCACCACATTAAACATTATTTTATTTTTGGATGCCAATTTAAACCCATCCACTGGCTAGGGAGTGTTTAATTATAATCATTTATTTGTGTTTTGAGCATCATCCTATTGTTACTGTGCCTTTGCTCCAAGTATTTAGTTAGGTCTTGTTGACAAAATCATCAGGTTGGCAGCAGATCGCCACTGCGCCAGAAACAGACGTGGTTCTGAGACATCTATTTTCTCAGAGCAACGTCTAAGGCTCATTTTCAACCAAGACTCGCTTTGTGCTGCCTCATTTGAATGAACCTTCCACCTATTTGCACCTCTCCTTCCACACAGACAGGCAAAGTAAAATTCAAGGGCATGAAAATACCAAATGGTTGAAGCACTGCTTGTGGGGCGGAGTCTAAAGCCATGCTCTGAAAAGGTCTTCTCACACACACCCAAGCTGTGAGGAAAATTCTAATATCAGATACATTTACCATGTTCAATGTGTTAGTTTAGCATCCTAACATTTGCTATTTAGCACTAAACACAAAGCATAGCTGAATCTAATTAGTTAATTAGTAGTTCTAATCTAGTTTTGCAGGTATTTGGTCACAAACCGAAGTATTCTTTTACATACATTTTAACTAATGATGGCTCTAAATGAAAAGTGAGGGCACTTTTATTAGTTAGTTATTACAACTCATCCGAAGAAGACATTCAGTAAAGAATTACACTCAAAACCATAAACCCTATGGAGATGGTATAGAAAAAGTCAGAGGATCATCAAAGTCATTAGGATTCACCATCTGGGCTCCATGGATATCAGTAACACATTATATGGCAATCCACTCAATACTTAGATATTTCAGTCTGGACCAAACTGATGAACCGACACTGCTGACCTAGAGCCCTGCTGCAGAATGTAAAAAAATGAACTTAGGGACATCCACCGTCTCTTTATGATCTAATGGAAAGTGATTTCACTTATGTTCAACGAGATCCCTCATAATTTCCTCTCGTTCTGATCATTTCCTGCTTTCTGTCATATCCAATAAGTCATGAAGGGACCTCATACTGCAGGGAACCATGGCTGTGACACTAAGTTCATCTAAACGTGTCAGAGCGAGCAGCCTGAGAAGGACCAGGACCCTGCGCCGAGGTATTTATATGACAGCACTGCTCTTTGCAGCATTCTGACAGCCCTGCAGCAACAAGCACAGCTCAGCGATTGAGCCCACGCTCCCTTAAGCAGCTTTCCATGACTGTCAGTCCGGGAGCAGCGCTGCTTCCAGCAAACGGCATGGGTGGGTTTGATAAAGTAGGGTGACACAGCGCTTCAGGTGCTGTTCAAATGCTCCCTAACAGGACTGGATTTACTGTGTGACAGAGGATGACACTGTATAGTGGCTTTAAGTGGCTATCACATTCATTTTGGACCCTTGAAGTAGAATCACCGAGAAATCTCATTCCACTCGCAAATTAAGCACCAAACATTTTGTAATTCTCAATGCCTACTAACATAATCGGGAATTACCGGTAGCCCAGTGGCAACAGGCATTCACTGAGCACAATCACAAACTGTCGGTGCAGATTAATTTCTTCACTGTGAACTATTAGGACCGTGATCAAAGATGGTCATAGGCTGCCTAATATCATAGTCACACGATTAGGAATTACAATCATACTTTTCTCACTCTGGCTTTTAGCTCAAATTACCACTTCACAGGCACATCATAAAATATTAATATTCTATTAAAATCACAGTCTATTTTATATTCAGTGAGAAAATCCTTCAAATGTTAAATAGGATCAAAATCCAGCTTGACACTGATGCATCCACGCGTATAAATTTAAAGTCAACAGCCGATTTTCCTTCCTCCAGGTTCTGATTACCGCCATTACAATCGCTGATCAAGTGCTTTGTCTATACATGTAGTGTGTACACAAACACACACACACACACTGTTGCTCATAGGTGCAGGAATGAGCAGGTGTGTGTGAGTTAACGGTGATACATACGATTTGTACGCGTAAAGAATGTCAGGGATAAGTATAACGGGAAAGTAGTGAGTTAGGACGGACAGAGGAAGAGGGGTGGGGAGTGGTACTTTGAGTCATCAGTAACAGTCAGAGCTTGCCAGTATAATGCTGATCCCCTCTCTCTCTCTCTCTCTCTCTCTCTCTCCCTCCCTCTCTGTCTCTCTCTCTCTCTCTCGCTCGCTCTCTGGCTGACCTGCCGTCACTGTGGGCTTTTCGTTCTACATCAGTGGGGCTCAATGCATCTCCACAATGATGATGACTGCATATGCTGTGTGAGAGAGTGAGCGCGCGTCCACCTGGCGGGTTGTGCGTAAGTGTGTGTCATTGAAGAGGAGGAGAATACCTTAACTGGACTCTGAGTGAGTGTGAGCCTGAAACAGATTCAGGTCCACTCTGTCTGTCTCTGTCTCTCACCGTCCGTCCCTCCTGTCTGTCTGCCTGTCGGTGGCTGGCCAGGCTCCTCTCCTCTGTGTCCTGCTCTCTACCTGGCCTCCATGAGTTTAACTGAGGACAAGACATTCCTCCCTGGAAGGTAAGCAGCAGAGCGTTGGGGTGGTTTTTTTTTGTTTCCAGTGCAATACATAGAGACAGACAATAACAAAGAACAGGATCCTTGATGATGACGCACTTGTTTGATCTTCCAAATTTTGCTGATGTTGTTTTTCTCAGTGTTTGCTAGCAATGGATGAATGGATGAGATATAGAAGCTGACAATACTCTAAAAAGATTCATTCTGTTATTTATTTATTTATTTTTTACTTTTATTTTCTGTGGAATGGCTCTGGTAGTTTATTCTGACTCGCAGTGTTTGTTATCCCACAACTCCCCCCTTTAAGATGATAAACATCTGGCTGTGTGAAAGGTGCTTTTACTGAAGGACATTCAGTCAAGTTTCCAATACTATCTAAAGGAAGTGAAAACAGATTGTACTGGCTGTAACGCCGCTGAAATGAAGGCACGGGCATCACAGCCAATTTGTGGGATCTCTGGCAGGATTACTGATAAGATTGCTGATTATTCCTCTCTGTAAAAAAAACAACAGCTTTTCTTTATATTTTAGTCAAAGTTGTAGTTGTCTGCACCATTTTCCTGACGACTTGGTCTCAGGCTGCTTGCCGTACATTATCTTTCTGGACATGTATGAGCTGCCCATTGTTGTTTCGTGCACAGACGTGTGTGAGCGACAATTCATTTGTTTGTGACTTCTCACTCAAGCCTCACAAGGGAGAATAATTATGTGTTGACAACGACCGATTATGATGCCACCGTATGATGTCTTTCAATCGGATACAGTGTGATATAACAAAGTGAATGACCTTCAACTGAGGATCAGAGTCAGAGGCAAATAACAAATGAAAACAGCTGTCTGAGGAAAGACATTAACCCACCATTGACACAGAAATGTTTGCTTTCCCACACTCAATCAGATTGTGGTTATGTAATGTGTTTGTGTCATGAAGGGGAAGCAGTTGTGGTAGAGTGATGATGACTTACTAGGGTTGCAGAATACTTATTTATTTATTTTGCATTCTTTGCGGCTGCTGTCCTTCCCGTAGGCATTAAGATTACAGATGCTTTATAGTGGGACTGGTCGATACAGCCTAAAAATAATATCTCTGATTTACAATTTTAAACAAACAACTGAAGACACCATATCTTTGGCAAAGTGACACAACACCCCATCTGTAATGTCTTTTTACTGGGGCCCTTTCTTCTCATACATAATTATTCTTCACGCTTTGTGTAGATGAGCGGCTGTATAACAACATTATAACATTTGTGGTTTAAATCTTGATTCTGAGCGTTTGTATGGTTTGCTTTCATGCAGACCTTTCATGATAAACTGTCTCTGTACCAACAGGATAATAAGAGTCTTTGTTCTGTGAAACCAAATCTTTGTCGTCGCTGCCCTAAGATCAAATCCTCCTCTATCTCCCCTTCTTTATTTTCTTTGCTCCTATCTCACTGGCTACAGAAAGATACAACTAGAATGACTGCCCTGCAGTTATATGCCTCCACCAACCAGTCAAGTAGCAGTTAACATCCATGTTTGTCCTGACTTATATAATATATGTAGTTAAGACTTTGAAGGAATTGAATAAACAATATTAAGTGTATTTTTTGGCTAAATGAGTGGAGTAGTAGAGTATAGCTGCACTAAATGTGGTGCTCATGGCATTTTGCAAAGCCTCTCTATGAGCTGTGTGTGGACTGTATGTGAGCACTCACTCACTCATTCACTCACTCACCAACAAGGTCAGGATTAGCTGCAGGCCTGCGCCAATAGGTTGAAAAGGCAGAATGGATGAGATGGAAAGATGAAAGGCCGTACTGTGCAATCTTTAGTCATCATGTCGTCCTGGTCAACATGTCTGTGAAATCTGGAATTACCCAATTAATTTGTGAATTATGGCTAAAAACCTATTTTGAGGTTGTAATGACCTTTGATCTTTGAGTCAAAAGTGTCACCAATTTAGTGTCCGACCAATCGTGAAATCTGGTGACAATTTCCCCTCCTGTTGATGAGTCATGGTGTTTTTCCCAAACATTATGATTTCACCAAGAGGTTGAGTTTTGAACTTTTGGATAAAAAAAATTATTGCATCCTTTTAAACATCTGTGTGAAAATTTGTCAAAATGACCGCAACAATTCCTGAGAAAAAAACATGTTCGTCGAAAGTCATTTTGAGGTCACTGTCACCTTTGACCTTTTAGTCAAAAGTGGTACCAATTCATTGTCCGACCAATTGTAAAATATGGTCATTGATTTTTGAGTTATGGCCAAAAACGTGTTTTGTGAAGTCGCCTTGACCTTGACCTTTTGACAACCGAAATCTAATCTAAACATCCTTGAAGTGGACGTTTGTGCCAAATTTAAAGAAATTCTCCAGAGGTGCTCCTGAGATATCGTGTTCACAAAAATGGGACGGAAGGACGGACTGAAGGACAGACGGCTGGGCGGCCCAAAAACATAATGCCTCCACACCGGCGGCAAAGAAAAAGAACTGAGAAAAAATGAAATCTGTAATTAATTATAAATAGTAGTGTCAAGAATACTTGACAAAAATTAGTGAGCCTCTAACAGGCTAGAATAATTAAATATTGTCTGCTCATCAAAGTCATTAGGATTCACTGTTTTATTCATCTGTACCTGAATGTTGTGCCAATCCATCCAGTAGACGCAGACGCTATTTAACGTTAAAGTTTAAGGTTAAATGGAAACCGTTATCTGTTGGTGTCGCTGGAGGAAAAGTCAGGGGATGACTCTAGTCACTAGTTTTAATGTCCTGGGTAGTGACCATGAATATCTTTACCAAAGGTTTGGTAATCCATCAGATAATTGACATAGATATTTGATATTTCAGTCTGGGCCAAACTGACAAAAATGAATGTCCAAACATACACATCTGTACAGTCGTCAGATTCATGCTCAGATTATTATACTGCAATGTTGGGAACCCTAAACACACTATGCTAGGTGCACACTGTATCATGTGATCTTTCTCCACAATCATTACATAAGATATGTCACAGCATCCCCTGCAAAGTCTGACACAGTTGCCTCCAGCCATTCCTTGTCATGCTGCTAAAACACAGTGTAAATATTGTTCTGTGATGGCATTCACTTGTCACTGTCAGTCACTCTCAGCTGAAGAGGCAGTTACCCATAACAAGGGTGAATACAGTCTACTTCAATCTCACAAAGGTCTCACAAGGCCCTCAGGGGATGTGCCGAACAGCACGTTGTGTGACACGCGTGTTGAAATGAAGGTTTGTGTTTGAATATTGTACAATGCTGTGAATCACAAGCTTAATGAAATACTTATAGAAAATAGTTTGCACACAAAAGAGGAATAATCAATCAACTACTGTTTTGTTAATCTTTTTCAAGCAATAAAAGCCATATGTTTACTAGTTAAAGCTAAAAATAAAGAAAAGATTTGCTGCTTTTCATTTATGATAGTAAATTAAATGTAAAATCTGGAGATGTGAGACAATGAGACTGTTTAACTTTTTTTTACCATTTAGACACAAAAATAAGAGATTAACTGATAAGTAGACAAAATAAACAGCAGATGAATCAACAGTGAAAATAATCCTTACTTGCAGCCCTTATGTGGATATCTGTATCTGTAACTGTGCCATAAAATGAGCTCTACACTGGAAATTCTTAGATAACTAAGAAATAATCAAAAGACATCCAAAATGCAGCAATGAAAATAGTGTAAATGCACAAAGGGACAGAGGTCAATCAACCCAAGCATACACGATACAATGTGACACATCAGAAACACAAATATTTCATTTATTCATAATGTCACAGAGGCACAAACGCTGAGGGCTGAGTGTGAATCTAACATAACAAAGCTAATGCCCAGATAAAAAACAACCAATACCAGTGCCATCCTTATATGTACAGCATGAAAGTGAAAGTGTGGGCTGAAGGAAAGGAAATGTCAAGCAATGATATAAGAACCATTCATATTAAACAGTCTGGATTAACTCGGCTTCCATTGTAGCAACAAATATTTACTTTCACAGAGTAGGAACCGCAGGAGTTTTAGAAGTATTCATTAAATTCGAGGGTCAGATTTAAACACAAATCAAAGATTGAGATACGCCACTGGCTGCCAATCTCTGGGAGAACATGCAGACACACTGACATTGTTATTGTCACCTCTCATGAGCTCATGCATGTAGTCTCTTTGCTGTTGCACTCAGACACCCTGACACGCCTGTCAGCCTTTAAGTGGCTGCTTATCTCCTCTGACCACAGCCATCTAAATGCAATGAGTGACAGACTCGGTTTAAGTGGTGTCACACGAATCTCCCAATTTTGATGACATGCAGCAGGGAAACAAACTTAGTGATTGCTTGTCATAGCTGACAGCAGCGCTAAGCTGCAGATGGATTTCATATCTATTCCTCGGTAAATTACACAGTCAAAAATGTCTTCACAGAGACCGCAAACTTGGGCGAACGGATGAGGGCAGGCAAGAATGGGGTGCAAATATAATGCAAAAATAAAATAATGGTGTACATAAGCCAGGTCAGCTGGCGATAGATGGTTTACCCGTCACATTATCATCTAGAGGTCAACGTCCCTGTCCCTGTCCTAAAGGCGCCCAATTAATCACAGCTGAACAGAAGAGTTATTCAGCCAGGCTCAGAGACATGATAACAGTAGTGTCACAGCTCAGCCAGTCTCAAAATACTCAATCTGTCACAGCAGACCAAAAGGCACAGTTCAGCTGGTTAAGCTCTTCCCGGCTCTTTCTGTCCACCTCCTCCCTCTTGCTTTCACTCTCACGTGGCTAAGGGTCGTCTTGCTTTTGTTCCTCTGGTTACATAAACACGTTCAAATACAGAGTTCAAATCTAGAGATGTATTTGATAGTAATGTCACATATTCTGTTATTCCTCACTTTAAGGGCATTCATGTGTTTAATCAAACCACACAGATTCAACTCCACACTGCTTTCTAAGTTATAAAGTATGGAGCTTGTTAAAAAAAAAAATAAATCAAAGGGAAATACTGCTTATTCAGGCTTGGTGGAGGCGCTGGAGCTTAAAGGCCAGCACACTTGAGAGAAAAGCATCCGCGCACTCAGATCTGTGCAAAAGTTGTTCTGATTAATGCAAGCTTTAAATCCTCCAGACGTGACAGGTTCTGTCCAAGAGCTCGCATGAGATAAAACATCTTTTGCAGACGCTGTGCAGACGTTTCTCTCTCAAAGCCTTCTTACACTGGACGGTTATCACCCAGGAAACACGCACACCCATAAATTGTCTTATGAAAATGTATTGTCTTTTTTGCATAATTTAATTACACTGTTCAGACAAAAAGAAATCAGGGCAGATAATTTATTATTGCATAAAATCTGAGAGAAGGAGGTACTCGCTGTGTCCAATCAATCGTTACTGACATTTACGAATGCAAAATATACTGCTGCTATAAACCTAAATGAAAAAAAACAATGCAGTCCAGTGAGTTTTAGTTTCTGCTGAGACTGTTTTAGAGAGGTGTTGATTGAACTTATTTTGGAGGCTGCAGTTTGTTGTGCTGTTGAATTATACTGACAGTGGTTCTTTTATGTTGTCAACCAGATTTCATGTCAATGGGGGTTAAATACCTGTATGTATGATACGGTACAACTCAACTAACCTCCAAAAGGATCATACAGTTGAACCAATACCTCTAAAAACATGTGTTATATATCGGTCACTGCCCTGCTCTCTAACTATTGGCATTGGCCATTGAAAGACACACATTGAGGACTAGTTAATATGTTTTATTGATAACAGAGCCCCTTTGCTGTTCTGACATGACAGTGGAGTTCTTGGATTTGAGTGCCACTAAAACTGGTCATAAGTACTTACTCTGCTGAGTCTCCTCCACTCAGACTGACTGGACATTTCGTCACTGACTGGCGTGCTGAGTTGCATAGTAATGAAGCCTCATTCTTTATCCTGTGTGATTGCCTAAGTCCTTGAGTCAATGTTGCCTCTGCATCATCTATGAAAGCACTCCAAGTATTGCTCCAGAATCGTCCCTGTCCCATGTATTTTATTTTCCATTATTTTCCATTTTTCCATTCTTCTATCAAGCAAAGTGACGTACTGAATAGCAATCATCATCTTGTTTGCAGATGTATGAGCAAGAAGATAGTGATTGTCTAGAGAGTTTTAAGAGTCTGGCTCACAACAAACCGCATGAGTGCCTCTACTGTGCTTCAACTGATGCTGAGAAGACACTATTAACATTCTTCTAATAATCTATTAGGTTAATTTATTTGCTCTCAGTCATGGCAGAATGAACACTCTCTCCGCTGCTCATCATGTAACTATTCTATCACTTCATGTGTCTGTATTTCATTTGCATGTGTGCATGATTGCGTCATGTGTAAACGTGTCAGCTTGGGACAATATTGCAATCTTTTTTCAAGCAAATGTGAGCGCATTTTTTATCTTAATCGTGATTTGTTTTGTTCTCTAGCTCTCAATCTCTCATCTCATACTCCTGTTGTAAATCCTGAAAGGCACAGTCTTTCTAATTCTTCTACAAACTGTCCCCATCTTTTGCACAGGATTATTTTTAAATTATTATTTAAAAGAAAAAAAGGTTTTTCATCTGGTTCTTCATTAAGTCCTGTAGGCTGGAAGTAGTGTGCAATAAAGACAAGCTGTAAAGCACAGCTTACACAAAAGGCATTAGAGACAAAACTGGAGAAATGTTTATCTGGTTTAAATACTGAGACCAGGCCGTGAAGAAACAGCTTTTCCTGCGGTTATTAAACACTCTTTCAACAGCATTGTGAGCCAAGGCTACAACAACATCAGTGGAGCATTGAGATTAAATAAATTATTCACTCATTGCATTATTCACAATTAACTTCTGTGTGTGCTTAACAACATTTCAGATGGGAAATGCTTCAGACACATCTGCTGTGTTTGTCTCCACCATCTCCAAGGAGCATGACATCCTCATGGGCGCAATATACAGCGCATTTTGTAAGTCCACACAACAAGCAAATCTCTCTGCCGTGTTGATCCTTCACTGACTTCATGCATGCACAACAAATCCCCACAGGGACACAATCTCTAGCCCAGCACAATCTCTCTTTCTTTTTTCTTTTTTACAGGTGTAATGTCCCTCATAGGCAACTGCATTCTGCTACTTGTTGCATATCACAAGCGGTCGACCTTGAAGCCAGCTGAGTTCTTCATCATCAATCTCTCCATCAGTGACCTTGGAATGACGCTCTCTTTATTCCCACTGGCAATACCATCAACTTTTTCACACAGGTATCTTATATTGCCCCATCTTATCTGTCTGTTTCATTTCTCCCATCTTGAGAAACAACAAATTCATTTTGCAGTGGGGATTTAATTGACTGTAAACAGCAACTGCTGACAGAAAACTGCAACTATTTAATTAATTCATTTATTATTTAAGTAATTTTTCTAGTAAACATCCCCTGGTTCTCACTCATATCACTGTAAATCAAATATCTTTGGGTTCTGGCAAACAACAGCAATTGAAAGTCAGTCTGGGCTTTAGGACAGGCATTTCTCACACACTGTATAGACCAAACAATGCATTGATTAATCAAGATGACAATTAGAAGATTAACTGATAATGAAAATTATGATTAGTTGCAGCCTAGGAGTCTCCGTCACATGTCCCTATTCTCCTTGTCTGTGTACACAGGTGGCTGTTTGGAGAAATCACCTGTCAGATCTATGCTATGTGTGGAGTACTGTTTGGTCTATGCAGCCTGACCAACCTCACAGCCCTCTCCTTAGTGTGCTGCCTCAAGGTCTCCTTCCCTAACCACGGTGAGGGGATTATAAACTATTATGAGCATGATGTTTACAACACTACAAATTTTTATCACAAACCTGAACAGCATGAGGAAATAAAATGACGACAATAACCGCAAAGAGTCTTTTTTCTATCTCTTGTCTGATCAGGTAACAAGTTCTCCTCGTCACATGCCCGCCTCCTGGTGGCTGGAGTGTGGTGTTATGCATCTGTGTTTGCTGTAGGGCCCTTGGCACAGTGGGGACATTACAGTGCTGAACCTTACGGCACAGCCTGCTGCATTGACTGGCATGCACCCAACCACGAGCTTTCAGCTTTGTCTTACATCGTCTGCCTTTTCGTCTTTTGCTATGCACTGCCCTGCACCATCATCTTCCTCTCCTACACTCTCATTCTGCTGACAGTGCGGGGGTCACGTCAGGCCGTGCAGCAGCATGTGTCACCACAGACCAAGACCACCAATGCACACGCTCTCATTGTCAAGGTCAGACGGACTTCAGCAACACTTAACTTTGCAGTTAACGGGATTTGAGTAGGATATGATGCAGTAAATTATTCCAAGTTTATAAAAATGCTTTGCTGATTGCTTTACTGCAGAATCTTCTCATGCACACGTAGCTATCTCTGTGTATATCTATACCTTTTATGTTTGATACTTTGCCACTGCTATAACACTAAAAAATCTTCTGCATGTCATGTTTTGTGCAGTGTGTGTGTATCATGTGTATGTTTCTCCTCCGCAGCTGTCAGTAGCAGTATGTATAGGCTTCCTGGTTGCCTGGAGCCCATATGCTGCCGTGGCCATGTGGGCTGCTTTCGGAGACGCCACGCAGGTTCCTCCGGACGCATTCGCCCTTGCTGCTGTGTTTGCCAAGTCTTCCACTATCTACAATCCTATGGTCTACCTGTTGTGTAAGCCTAATTTTCGCGAGTGTCTCTACAGAGACACGTCTATGTTACGACAGAGGATCTATAGGGGAAGTCCACAGACAGACCCAAAAGAACGCTTTGGCTCCACCTCACAGCACAACAAGGACATGAGCATCTCTACGCGCTTCTCAAATGGACAGCAGGAGAGCTATGGGGCGTGTCAGCACTGCACTGAAAATGCAGCACCGTGTCATGTGCCCACACCCCAAAGGACTGCCTGCATCCTGACTGGATCCACCTACAAAGAGGTGACAGTTAGCCGGCTCTCAGCCAAACCACAGGCTGATTTACTCTAGGGGTACAACCTCCTCCTATCGTGAAGCAAACAAGACAGGACAGGTGCTCAAAAAGACAGAGAAATTGCTGGGCATGGACAACAAAACAACAAAGGGCATGCACAAGTTATAATAAGTGTGTGTCATCAAGACTTTATAGCAGCACAGTCTTGCAAGGACCTTCGACAGCATCCTTCCTGAAAGTCACTCGTAAATTACCCCTTCATTGTGAAAAGATTCATAAAATCCAAACCATGCTGATTTCATCTGAGAAAATTTGTCACAGAAACGTGTAGTTGCAATGTCTTGATGCTTACTACGGTGACAGCTTGTTTCATTTTAATTAACAGTAATTTAAGTGGGCTCTGAAGGAGCAGAAAATTAGACAGGAGAACCCCTGCTGGTTTCGAGGTTACAAATGTGTGACATTTTAAAGCAGCTCATCGTCTTCATCTTGTGTACAGCAGGAACATACTTTTTAATGTGAGGATAATGGCAATATAAGAAAAAACATATGTGGAATCATTCTAAAGGATTGTAAAGGAGATAAAGAAATTGTTTACGGTCCTTAGTGTGAGAGCAAGACTGCACAGGTTTATGTCTAACCAGTTAACATCAAGCTCTGTTTACGTTTTGACACACGAAGGACATGTGTAACCATTGTATGTATGCTGACACCGGGCGGTGAAGATGATAAAGTGGTACTCAACTCAAAATGATTGAGTATTCACCCCCTGTAGACTTGAATGTTTGTACTGACATTTTGTCCTTGTCACCATTGGGATCCATTGTAACAGGGACACAAACTCAAACTGACAGCTGTTGTTTTCTGTGAGGAATCAAACAACCAATTATTAGCAGCCACTTCAAGCCAACAGGGGCCAAGTATCTGATGCTAAAAACACAGATTTAGCTGGATTATCAATTTAGTGAAGAGGCCTATACTTGATGAGGCTCTACTGTGCCCTGTTGCCTGCGGTCACTGACAAAAATGGGACTAGAAGTCAATTTCACCTCACGTTTAGTCATTTATTTTGACAGAAATAAAAAAAAAAGCTACAGAGACCCGGAGTGGCCATAGAGAGAAAAAATATATATATTGAGGGCAGGTTTGCTACATCAAGCACTCAAAATTATACTGCACTTGCACAAGATACAATTAATTCCCACGTTTTGAAATAAAGTTGGCAATCCTTTAAGTAGTGAAGTGTTAGCTGCAGTTAAACACAGACCATGCCATAACCTAACGCACCCTCAGTAATGTTTTCACTGTGGGTTGACTGTGATAGCGACTGTAATGTAAATGATATAGTCAATATTGGGAAATGGTTAATGTACACACTTTAAAATCACAGACTGCAAAGTGCACCCACTGTAGAACTAACCTATAAACCTATGTTGAACACACAGTTGAAATGAGGCACACATAATAGTTTTGCAGAAAAACCTCATCGTGCCAGACGATCGTAGCTTATGCCAACTTTTTCTGGTTAAAGGCAATGCAAGTATTAGAGCAAAGGTCAAATATTAATGCATGAACATGATTAACTTAGAATCAGAGAGTCACTGAATGTTTTAGAAATGTTTTGATAAAATACAACAAACAGTCTAGCTACCGATGTTGCTGAATTAACTGCCTCTTTTAAAGCATTTTGAGTCCTTAGTGTCGTAAAACATGACCTTAATATATTGTTTCTCTGTATGGCCACTTCAGGGCTTAGTAAAAACCAAACTCAAGTCACTCTCTTTCTTTTAGAGGATTCCTTAACTCTTATGTTGGTCCTCCACACAGTTACCACAGTAGTTCTAATCTGTATTTCAGCTTGATTAGGTTACATTAATACTAAAGGGACTCTGCTTTGTAAAGAAAACGCAGCACTCACTAACCAGAGTGAAACCTGTAATTTAAGACCATTTTACAGGACTTTTTCAAAACAATTGTCGTTTCATGAAACAAGAGGAACCAGGGTAAGTTCTATTTTTTATATATAGATATTTATTACATTTAAATATTTATTCAGTGTCCAGGTAAAAAACAATGGAAAAAAGGAGCCCATAACAGTGAAAGCTTTTAATTATGTTTTGATTAGCATAAATTGGCAGAATTGCACACACAGATGTGTCCATAATCTAATGTATATTAAATTATAGATGCTCTTATCATTTGTCTTCTACTCCTGATTTTCTCATGCTAATTCATGCACATTTATTGTAAAAAAAATCAGTCAATCAATTAAAATAAATCACTCTTTGGATTTTAATCAGTTATAATAAAAACCATGTCTGATCCTGCACGTGTGTATCAAAAGACTGACAATTCGTTTTCCTTAAAAAAAAAAAAAAACAAGAACACGAACAGCACTGTGCTGTATTTAACTCTGCTTTCCCTTTTTAATGTGGTACTGTGCTGTGTGGCTTAATGTATGCATGTAAAGAAAAGCATACTGTATGTGTTGATATCATTATCAAAAACAATTCTTGTGCAGCCTTATTTACTGAAGAAATAAAAACACTGAATAATCCTTGTGGTTAGATTTTTCGGGAGAAACGTGTAAAAGTCTGGATTCAGATTGTTGATGTCATTAACCATATGAGGGAAATACAAAATTACTTGACACTAAGAACTGTAGCGTAACAGATTAAAGCACAAGAGCGTTCACACTGAGAAACTTGTTAAGAAACAATTTTTCTGAGCTCCAGAAATGAAGAAAATACACCTACGTGACTTTTTTCTCCCTCATTTTAATTAACTGTGAGGAAGTGTTGCTTTGGAAAACATTAACATTATTCATTAAGTTGAGAGCACCCCAGGTTCAACTTCACTGCCAATCTAATTTTCTACAAAGGATCGTATTGACATTATTGGCAGCACCTTGGTGTGGTCTGTTTAAAATTCCTGGGTTGATGTGCAACACTTCCAGAGGCTGAAACAAACCCCCACCCACTTTTTAAACAGCATTAGTATCTCAGACAACACTGCTTGTACTGCTTGGCCTCACATGCACTCTGACATTTTAGGAGGGAAGTGTCAATGTCAAGTGTCTCAAAAATAGTAATTAGCGTAAACGGCTGCAATATTGTCCTAATTGGTAAAAAAAAAATCTATCCGCCCATCTAATTATTTATCTGTTATTTTAACACTGTGATTCACTACAAGAAAAATATCCAGACAATTAATGAGATGTTTAAATAGACTGGACAAGCTTGACCTAGGAAGGCACTCTCTTAGGGATTCATTTAATGGACTGTAATGCTTCCAATTTAGTGCAGCTTATTGTATCTTTGTTTGCCGCTGAGACAGCCTTTTGCAGAGGAGTATTTTTTTTAGCACGCTGACCAAAATCATGATGACAGCAAAGCTACAGCTGGGGGGTTTTCCAAACCTTTGAAGATAATACACATGTGCATCCAAAAAGCACGTATAAGAAAGCACACTGGACTTTCAATCTTAGAAAATACAAAAGAGAAATGTGTATATCTATACAGCGTATCTGTTGAAGTGATCCACTTCCATCAGAGCTGAACTGAACTAGAATAAAATTAAAGCCCACATGCCAGCAGGGAGCCAAGCGAATAAGCATGAAGTTTTTGACTTAGATGCAAAGTAATTTATTTTCCTCCAGTGTAAAAAAAAAGTCTGGAGGATAAGCTTTTCACTCGGAACCAATATAGGCAAGCACTGAGATGTAGTCAGAGGCAGAATTAAAGAAAAATAACTAATATGGCACATAACTGAAGAAACTGTCGGATTAATGCTATACGGACGCACATACAGTAGTTGGATGTTTTTCAAAAGCCTTAAACTAAATCTCAAACAATAATTTACCTCGCTTAGTTTCAGATTACTGTGACTCTTATGTATGAGATTTTTATTTTTTTTCTAGAGACAGATGGAAACTTTATAGTTAACAGGATTATAAATATTACCCAATACGCTGTTTTGCCATCGCCGGATGGAGGGAGAGTTTACCCAACACAGATTTCAAAAGCTGTAACATAAGCTTTAATTAGGAATCACTTCAAAGATAATAACTGTGGCGGTGTAAGGTACAAAACATTGCACCGCGCATCTTTATTCTCATCTGATTATCCTCTCAACAGTCCCATTCTCACGCACCAATTCTCTTCTCCTCAGTTTCCCTCATACTCTGTCTCTAAAACTCTGTCTCTCCCTCTTGAAATCCAGACCATGACTTGCCATACCAGCTGTTCTTGTGCAGCAGCACTACCCCAGGCACCCGGTTAACGCAAAACACAAATTTATTTTGGCATGTTTAATTCTTGGCCTGAGATAGCTTCCTCAGTGGTGACTTGAGGACAAATTTTCTTTTCAAGTTACGTGCGTGTGAGACAAAGAAAGATAAAGAAGGAAAAAGAGAAAGAAGACACAGATTAAAAGAGCTTCTCTGTGTTTAATTTTCTTCACCCTACCTCCACTGAGTTGTCCACAGTCATGTCTGACAGGTTCAGGTCCCCGTTCAGGCCTACACCCTCCTGTATTAATCGAAATGTAGCTGGTTATGAAAGTGCACTGAAATAAATAATCAAAATTAACTACCAATCTCTTCAACCGCTGCCATAACAGTGGTTTTATATGCTGCATGACCTTCCATTAAGGTAGAGCTGAAACAATTAAACAATTAATCAATCAGTCTACTGACAGAAGAATAGTCAGAAACTATTTTGATAATCGATGAATACATTTAAATAACTTTAAATAATTCTTTTGTCAAACATTTCTTAGACTCAGTTTCTCAATATATTTGGGTTTTAGAAGTTTTGGTCAGATTAAAAAAGGAATTTGAAGATACCACCTTGGGCTTTAGGAAAGTAGAAGTATTTCTCATTATTTTTTTGACTAAACAATGAATCCATTGAGAAACTAATCTGCCAGTTAATCAGTAAAAAACATAATATTTAGTTGCAACCCTACAATAATATTCTAACAATATTTTGTAAACTAATAAGTGTACCATTAATATGCAAAAAATGCAAACCTACTAAAAACATTAAATTCATATTAACAGTCTGGTTGTGTACCATTTCTATAAATACATTATATTCTAGCATTGCATACCAATAAGTAATAATATAATATTTCCCAGTTCTTAATAAACCTGCTTTGTGTCTTCCCGTACAGGTGGCTGGTGTGTTTTGTCCAGTCCAGTTTATTATCCAGCCACAGCTCGAGGTATTTGTATGATTGCACAGCCTCCACCTCAGCTCCCTCTAGCAGGACTGGTCGCGGTCTTGGTCTGGACCTCCCAAAGTCAATGACCAGCTCCTTCGTCTTAGAGGTGTTGAGCTGTAGGCAGTTAGTGTGACACCAGAGAGCCCCACCAGACTCCGATACACCCAGCGACACAGCCATCGTTGGCTGTGTGGCTGTGTCGCTGGCTGTGTAGTTGGGTGTATCAGGGGGGACAGAGAGGAGGAGTATCGGAGTCTGGTGGGGGACTTTGCTCTCTGGTGTCACACTAACTGCCTACAGCTCAACACCTCTAAGACGAAGGAGCTGGTCATTGACTTTGAGAGGTCCAGACCAAGACCGCTACCAGTCCTGTGGAGGCTGTGCAATCATACAAATACCTCGGGCTGTGGCTGGATAATAAACTGGACTGGACAACACACACCAGCCACATGTACGGGAAGACACAAAGCAGGTTGTACTTCCTTAGGAGACTGCGGTCTTTCAACATCTGCAACAAACTGCTGTGGATGTTTTACCAGTCTGTGGTTACCAGCATCCTCTTCTACACTGTGGTGTGCTGGGGGGGGGCAGCATATCCAAGAAGGACACCTCCAGACTGGATAAACTGACCAGGCGGGCTGGCCCTGTGGTCGGCATGAAGCTGGACTCACTGGTGACGGTGGCAGAGAGGAGGACAAACTGCTGGACATTATTGACAATGCCAGCCACCCCCTGCACACCGTCATCAGCAACCAGAGGAGCCTGTTCAGTGAAAGGCTGCTCCTTCCCAAGTGTAGGACCAACCGACTCAAGAACTCCTTTGTCCCTCTTGCCATCATACTCTACAACTCCTCACTCGGGGGGAGGAGGAAATAGGGTAAAGAGGACAGAAGGGAAGGAGTGGTAGCCACTCACTGTGCAATTAATAATCTACTCATACATACCTGGACACTCTTCTTCTTCTTCTTTTTTTTGTGCAATAACTTAATCCACCACTTAAGTGCAATAATTTAAGTTGTATAATAACACAATGCCATATACAGTTCTCTACATTTATCTTATTTGATTTTATTTTCCCTGAATTTTATTTTACTTCTATTCTTATCTCTACTTTCTATATTTAGCTAAGAGTTATTGTTTAACTTATACTGTATTTTTTATACCTCTTCTATTTTCTATACAAGCTGCTGAAAATCCAATTTCCTTGCGGGAGTCATCCCAAAGGGATCAATAAAGAGAAGTCTAAGTCTAATAAACAACTGAGGCCTAACTAAATATTTTCACTTTTGCCACTATGATTAAATGTTTAGATCTGGCCACCATGTGATTAAATTTACTTTTTTTTTTACCAGTATGTCAGATTACAAAACAATTTCAGTTTAAGCTCCCAACTTTGCATGTACATGAAACTTTCAGATTATTATTTTCCAGCTCACAGATTGATTGTATGTATAGTCTCAGCGGTTTACATACAAACTTATTTACAATAACCGTAGAGATAAATTATTGTGCAAAACCGAATAAGTTATCTGACGCTGAGTCAAAAACCGACAAGAAAGCAAAGTCTATTTTGATACAGTATGTTACATTTCTGCTGACATATAAAGAAAATATAAAAAACAATGGTAATTAAATTATCTGTTAGCTGCAGCTCAGAAATACTGAACGACAAACTCAGCATCAAACATTGTCACACAGTAGAAACACAATGTTTAAACATTAAACATATATAACTTTTTACGAAAGCAGCTTTTTACAGGCATTTTATATTGAGTTTAATGGTGTGTGTTAACCATGTCACCACCATGGAGCTTCTTCTATATCTGACTGTGCGATAAGTGGGGAAACTTTGCCTGTTTCTTCCTCCTGTTGATGAGTGTGTTTAGGTGGCCTTGCTGTATCCAATGCACTTGATCACTATCTCAGTAAGTGACAATGTGCTTATGCCCTGACGCCCTCTAGTGCATATAAATGGCAAAAACATGAGGAATCTATCAGCCAAACTACTAGATAGCCTACTGGTATTTATCCCTAAGGTATCTTTTTGTATTGAAAATATAAATCTACAATTGTGGCCCCAAAATCCATTGTGATAATGTGTTGGATTGGGACACCTCACACAAGAAATCAGGGCTGCAACTACTGATTGTTTTCATTATCAATTAATCTGCCAGTAATTTTCTCAGTTAATTGACTGTCTGTTAAAATAACCATTATAATTTCAAATGGCAATTGACTTTGTCTCACCTGTAGTCCAAAGATATTCAGTTTTAATAACATATGATATAAAAAAGCACAAAATCCTTGCAATGGAGGAGGTGGAAACAGCAAATGTGTGGCATTTTTGCTGGAAGAAGTACTAAAACAATCAATTAATTATCAAAATAGTTATAGATTAATTCAGTTGTTTCATCTGAGGTCTAAACAGCCAGGATAATTAAAAACACTTGCATGGGTGTACAGGACCTTTAAGTGACAACCCAAAATATGATTACTCCTGCACTCTCAGCCCAGTCCCATGTACATCTCTATTTATTGCATAAACAATACCTCGGCTTACTACTTACATTACATATATTCGTTATTGACTGCTTTAGGTGAACATTAGTAAGTTTCACCTGCATGAGTGTGAATTTAAACTATTCCTTTGTGGATCTGACAAAGTGTAAGAGCTGTCAGACTTTGAGAAATTAGACATAATCACTTTAACTATAGACCTTCAAAAAGGTCTTAGAGCTTAGGACACCGTTCATGTAAGCTTGTGGGTAATACCTCAGCAGCTACTCTTATCGGCACCGGCTTAAGAGTTACAGTCAGACACTTTAGGGGGGAAAAGCATGTTATTCTGCAGCAATCTCCAAATTTAAGAAAAGCCTGTAAGAAATAAGAGAGCCTTGATGGTCTCTTTCATTTGGTGTCTCAACAGAGACTTTTAGTGTTAATCAGCGGTGTCTGGAGAAGTGGGTATACTCTCATTTTAAAGCAGAACAACAAGCAAAGGATAAACCTACTGTTATAAACAGCGGCATGTTAAGACTACTATAGCATATTTAACAAAAATGGGTACCAGTAGTGTTTGCACAATGTCACTTAACTGTTGCTGCTTGACTTCAGGCAGTAAGGATCATTATTTAATGACAGAATAATCAATACTAGGCCCCAGATTACAGAGTGAGACAACCACATAGGTAGAAAAAAAAACACTAGTAAGCATTAAATAAGATGGCAGTTGGTTTACTAACCTCTGTATTTCTGTTTCAGCACCTCTTCTTCCCGTTGAGATACACATTTATTTAACGTTATGTATTTAAATATTTACTGCTGGTGTTACACTGGTGTTTACCGGTTGCCAACCGTCCCTAGCAACCGCCAGTTATTTATTTTTTTGGGGCGGAAGTCGTTGCTTGGTTACTCCTCGCGGTGATGTGCACGCTCCAAATGTCAAACCGCGGCACTTTCGAAGTTAAGCTAGCTTGTTCAGCTGAGGGTCCCGGCCAGCTCGGTAAATACTGTACAGTTAATTAAATTAGAAATGTTATGTTTCTACCTGAATCGTGAACTGTATTTTAAACACATACCATGATGTTTAGCTGTGTGGGAAAACTACCCTGCCGTCGCAATGTAGCGTAACTTAGCCAATCAAGTTACCTCGCCGCTAACTTAGACAGTTCAAGCTCAAAACTTTTTGTTCTACAGCTATTTAGACATTTAACCAGCAAGTACCGGATTTAGAAGACACATTGAAGATGTTTTAAACAGTAATTGTTGTGTGTGTGTGTCGCAGGTAGCTTCGGTGATCCTCCAACATGATGTTTTACACGCAACTGTTCACGTCCAAGCGGGGGCCTCTGGCTAAAATCTGGTTAGCAGCGCACTGGGAAAGGAAACTCACGAAGGCTCATGTGTTTGAATGCAATTTGGAAACAACCATCAGTGACATCATGTCCCCAAAGGTAAAAATAAAAGCAGAAAAAGAAAATGCATCTTCAAAACCCCCCAGTTTTTTTTTTTCTAATAACTTAAAAGAAGTATGAAAGCTGCAACCTCTCAACCTTTTATAGATGAAAATTGGTTTGAGGACTTCTGGTCATCTGCTCATTGGTGTGGTCAGGATCTACTCCAGAAAAGCAAAGTATCTCCTTGCAGACTGCAGTGATGCCCTGGTTAAAATTAAAATGGCATTCAGACCAGGTAAGGTAACACAATCCTGTTTGTTTTGACAGCGTCGTGCGTAATTATTTAAATTGTAGTGACAAATAAAAGCCCCACAAGGGGTGGACAGAGCTGTGGTGTTACATTGGACTGGCTGAAATGTTTATTATATTTGAAGAAAAAGGGGTAGGTAAAGACAGCTGTAACCATCTGGATGCATTTGTAGGTAAAAGGAAAACATTTGTACGTGATTTGTAATTTTAACCAGAGTGGCTGCTTTTTTTTTTTTGTTGTTTGGTAAATGTGAAAGCTCTTCTTGAGTACATTAGGCCCAAACCCTGCCTGCAATTTAACACTGCAGAAACTTGCCTTTCCTCCACAATGTAAATGCAAGTGGTGGGATGAAAGGATGAGAAATGGAGTCACTGTAATCCAGAATACATTGTGCTCAAATTAATATGCACTCTGTTGCCAGTTTCTTGCGTATATCTAAAACTAATGCATCCTAAGCAATGCATTATGGATTTAATGTTACGTAGTCTGTGGTGTTGTTGAACTGTATTGCATTTTAGAAAGAGGTGTATTTTATTTAGCCTACATACACATATATAGGGTCGACAAAACAACAGAAACCCTTGCCAGTAGAACATAATAAAATAGAAATAGCATTTATAAAGTTGAATCAATATTTTTCGAAAACAAAAACTGAACTTTCAGCCTTCATAAATGTAGGATTTATTGCAGAACTTTTGTGTTAGACTGCAACAGTTTTAGCCAGATATATTTAATAAACTGGCAAC